TTCCAGCGTTCTATATGATCAACAAAGCTCAGTTTTGGATCAAAAATAAACACCAGATCCTTGGTGAATTCATGTCTCTCTAACAAAATTACTTTAACGAAACAATCATAAACAACAGGATTGGTTTTTTCTTCTAAAAGTTATAGTTTAATATTTGCGATAATTAAGTAATTAGTATTAGTAGACTGAAATAAATCGGCAATATATGGCACCAAATTTGATGCCAGATATTGAAATTGTTGATGTTGACGTTGAATTCTCCTCAAACCCATAATAAATAGACTGTGCTAGAGAATCCAAATAAAAAGCAAACAGTTTAAGTTCATGACCAAAACCTATTTTGTTAAGCATTGACATTACAGTCTCGAGTTAGTCGTTTATTAACCACTCGCTCAGCTGCGCTCACTCGTGACTAAAATTACCTTTATCTAACTTGTTGCACTATTGAAGTACAATTGAATAATATGTAAATAATATTGTGTGATATTAGAAATCTCCTATTAATTTAGAACAAATATGATCCTTTCTTCCATATATACTTTATTTTAAAAAATATTTGTTATTTGCTAACGTAGTTAATACGGAGATATTTTGTAAAGTGATGTACCACCACCTTCCACTAATTCTAATTAACGTTAAATTTAAACTTGTAACAAAATAAACAATTAATGTTATGTTGTCAATTAACCACTTCCTAATTGAGTAGTCAAATTCGATTAAAATGTTATAAATAACATCTTGCAATTGTAGAGTGTCATCGTTTGTATCGAGAGTGAATTAGTTTATGATGTCCTATTTATCTATAACCCTCTTCAAGGAATACCCCGACACCATACTCGATTCGGGGAATCCCAATAAAAATATCGACTCCATTTAGTTTTCAGAAAGACCCGACGGCGAGGTAAAGTATAAAATAAATAAATATAAATAAATAAAAAATATAAATTCAACTGTATTTCAATTGTATTTGACACGAATAAATTTGACCGGTCAATCCTACAAGGCTACCTGCGAATAATTTTTTTTATTTGCTAGAAATGTCTATCAGTAGATTTAGAACAACATGCGAAATATTTTTTAAATTAACTAACGGAATAAGTTTACACATATTCGAAGTTTGAATCGATTCGCTAAAATCGACAAAACCGACTGTGACATCGCGATGCACAATTGCCACGCAAACGAGGTTAAAATGCATAACCTATAAGTTTATAATTATATATTTAACTTTTCGACACTTTACCAATATTTTTTTGGATATCCCCAGTTTTCAGGGCAACACTTTTTTGACTTTGAGAAAATAAAACTTTGAGACAAAAAAAAAACGAAAATATTGAATATTGTTACTTGAAATTTTCACAATTTCTTTTCATAATATTCCGTTCAAATACCGGGCACTGGTTGAAATTCTTAAAAATCTTTTACAGCACAAAAACGTGCTTTAAGATATATCCAGTCTGATATGAAAGACATATAGAAAAAATCAACTATCAAACAGGCGCGTTTCAAACAGCTTTGCTTCCAGTCCGAAATCGAATCGAACGTGCAGACTAGCACGCAGAAATATCCTTGAGAACGTCTCAACAATAATGGTTTCGCGTCGAAAGGGATTCGTTTATCCTGCACGACTTCCTTTGATTATCATTGACACCCATTCCGTTAAATGCATACGAATCGATTTAAAGACGTCACGGAATTATTTTTTGGAATACAGTCGAACTTCGATAAGTCGAACTGCGATTTGACACATGAAAATTTCGAGTTATCAAGACTTTGAGTTATCAATAAAAACTACAAATGCATGTACTTTTTTGTGAATGAACATTTATTCATTCATTTTTAAAAATACATACAAGCTTTAAACTCGATTTCTATTTGGATTTGGTCTTCACTCTTTTCTTTCAGGCGTTCACTTAGGAAAATCAAGGGAATCTCATATTCTTCTTCCCATTCAGAATACTGACCAAAACCGGCTTTTTTAAAATAATTGGAAATTGTTTCAGGCTTAACGTCGATATTCCATGCGGTAGTTACATCGTCAACACAATCCATTAGTGTAATGTTATTGTTTTTGTTTTCTTCGAAACGTTCCATTGCGGTGATGACTGAATGTTTTGTTTTTCAAAATTGTAGACACTGTACTTGCCGAAATCCCATACTTCACAGCTACATCTTTATTTTTTGAGCCACTTTCCACTTCTTTTATAACCTTGAATTTTTGATCAACAAAGCTTTTAAGGTACGTTTTGATGACATATCAACAAATGCAAAAATCCAAAAATGTCTTTAATATAATGTGTAAATCGAATAGGGACAGTATTTTTCACTTAGTATTAACTAGTAAGTCATACACGTGAACTTAGCAAGCACAGAAACTGAACTGCTTGCATACATACGTTAAAAAGACAGGTTAAGATCGGTCGTAATTAGGGGGTTCCCGGGAAAATTCGACTTATCGAAGTTGGCACCAAATGTTTCGTTCGAGTTATCGAGATATTCGAGTAATCAAAACAAACTAACACGCATTTCCTATTTTTGACGCTATTGCCAACTAATTTGGTTCGACTTATCAAAAATTCGAGTTATCGAAGTTCGACTGTATTTAGTTTCGGCGTATTTCGTTTTTCTTTGCCGCTATTAAAGATACGAAATAAGATATAAATATTTAATTTTTAGAATTTTGTTTTTTTTTTAGTTTTTTTTAATGCGAGGGAGATACATTGATATATTGAACTTTAAAGCTGGGTGTTAGTGTTTCCAAATTGAGATTATAGTTACTATGCGCTTTGCGCTTTCTAAAAATGAAAGAATTATTATTCTCAACGTGTTCAAAGCTCTTCGCCACCAAAACTCAATATTCTGAGTTGCAACACTACTTAAAATGTGTTCGAATATGACTGTCAATGTATACATACGGACTTGTGCATGAGTCTCAATCAGATCACCAAACAGAAGTATGGCAAGAAAAGAAACTAAATAAATGAAGACAAAAAAACTAGAATAAAGACAGTGGATTATGAACAACTAAGCAAGCGGGTTGAACATGTAATTAAAATAGGAGAGACGGAATATGGGAAGCTGGTAACATTATATAAAACGCTGTAGTGTGGTTTAATATTTCAATACACTTTAGTTTGACTACTAAAATTTACGAATGAAGTTGTATGGTAAATGGCATAATAATATTTATTACAATTTATATATGTATTTTAATATTATTCTTAATTCTATATAAGTTTTTGTTTACTCTACTTAATATCTTAATAATTTATATCTAAATGATCTGTCCATATCTATAATTACGTATAATTATTCTAACAAAAAAAATCGTTTAGTAACAGCACTGTCATATTACTTTTATTCTCCAAACCTATCTTTCTATTGTATGCAAATTACAGTGGCCCTAACTGACGAATGTGTAGGTCTTAAAAACTGAAATACGGAAAACCATAATTGCAATTTATCTAAACTTTATTTTATTACTTTTTGGCACTAACAACCAAAGCATATCATTAGTAAAAAATAATGAAATAAGTTGATATAAGACTTTTGATTTTTAATATTTTAAAGACAATTTGAAGACAAAATAGAAGTGCAGGTATTGAAACTTTTAAAATTTAAATCAAATTTAGAGAAACAGAAAAACATAGGAAGCCTAAACAAAAATAATAATAATAATAATAATAATAATACTAATAATAACAATAATGATTCTGTTTCGTTACATATTTTACAAAAAAAATGCAATTTGAAAATAAAAACAGGATTGCCACCAACCCTGTAAACCAAAAAAATATAATGGGGAGGGAAAAAGTCTGATGTGAATGTCACGTGAATTGGTGGGAATTATAAGCCTTTAATTCGTTTAAGTTTCTTTTTTGAGACACTATTTTCTCGGAAAAATACCACAACAGTAGAACATAAAACGAATCCAAAAATATTGATTAAAACAAAACATTTGGAGAATAAAATAAGCAGATAACTAAGTTTAATACATAATGGAGGATGGATAGTTTACTTTGCTCTTTTTATATGCATCATGTTTGCAATTTGTTGTTGACCAGCCCCTAACAGCTTAAAATTTCATATAGACACCTTAAAAACTCATATCATATATAATTTTGGGCAAATTTTTGTTGATTTGGTTTTATGAATTAGTTTTAGTTAGTCTTGCTTTTTGCATTAGTTGGATTATTTTGGATTTTGCAGTACATAATATTAATCTAAACTGCACTGAGACTCTCCAATAATAATTATTTTTCGTAATCTTAGATTGGGGATAATATAATATACTTATATTCTGTGAAATTAATATACTTAATTATATAATAATAAATTGATATTTGATATATCACCGTGATTTCGGAGAGAATTCAACGTGAAATTCAATAATTAATTTAAATCAAAAATGAATCTATATCACTTTTCTTAAATATGAAACCACTGCTTTAAATTTGAAATAAATTACTAGAGCCCAAACGAGAGAGATCATGACAAACTGAAGTTTATATTAATTTTAAATTATTTTTGTGATTTGTGGGTATTATGCGGTATTATAAAAAACAATTGTGCAGCATCGGAATCTATAAAAAATGCTTAAATTGAAATGTGAATTACTACATACCCATAGCTTACGGTTACAAAGTTTTCAACGAACAAGATACCTCTGCAGGTTAGGTATCCCAACTGTGCAACAATTATATCTTTAAAATTATTGTATGAACTAGATTATCATTTATACAAAACATGTTATGTAATTAAAGGTTTCTTTATGTGGTTAGATCTAATTAACTAGTGCTTCTCACAATAATTATGTCCCAATCCTAACTGCAACTGCATCAAAATGAAATGCATATAATTATCCTAGCAAAACGGCAGAAGTTTAGGTATGGAATACTCAAATTTCATTTTCAAGAACTACTTTCTAAGTATATCTAGTAGTATGAAGAGTAAACAAATTTTTAATTGGTGGTAACAAAAATTTCATCCTTTCTACTTACCTTGGTAACATAAGGCGATGAAGTCTCCTATATTATCTTTGTTTATGTGCCACCGAAGTAACCATCTACCATTATCCAGTTCTTTTGCATTTAAAACATTTTCCCCCCGACCCGTCAAATCTAAATTTTGTTGAGATGTACTTGGAAATTCCAAGCAGTTTTCTGCAGCCTCCAATAAATTTTCATTACAACCACAAATATCTGGATTAATATCCAATAAATTTAATTCTCCTTCAGAAGATTCTTTATCTGCATTTGATTCTTCCATTTTACGCTTGCATATTTCTTCATTTCAAAGATTATACCGGAGACTACATCCTAGAGGATAGGTTGTCATAGAAACAGACTTTGTGGCGCCTACATTTTAGGATATTTCGTTATTTGAATTTTTGCCCATTGAAGGTTGAGTGGTTTGTCCCACTTTTTGTATACAAGTATACATTGTTAATTCGGTTAATTTATGCAAATTATTTTAATCCCGAACGAAACCACACAAAATGTACGTGAAATTTAATATGTTTACTAAATAAATACGTTCAATGCACCAAATGACAACAAACATTCAAAACAATTCTTTTTTGCTTTAAACCACAGAATAATTGACATGTGCTCACAGCTGTTCTCATTTAGCCTTCGAAAAATATCCTTATCCTGGACCTGTAAAGAAGAAGAATAATTACATCGGCGATTTATTCTGCTAGTTAAGCGCAAGCAATGACGCCACCTATCCTAGCCTTCATCTGTTACGTGTTACTAATATTTTCGCTGTTAATACACAAAATTTCTTTTGAAACGCAAATGCCCATTAAGAGAATGTAACAAATTCATACATCATTAAATTTAATTTTGAGAGTGGGTGTTAATCTTGTGTACATTATACCTACGCTAACAATTTCATGCTAGTAATAAAACTCGCTTTGCTCGAGCTAAATAGAACTCGTGATTAAAATGGTGTTTATCAAACTTATTGCGTAATATACTATTTTATATGAGAATTTCTTGTGTTGCATATAGTTGCAGCAGAGTATATATCCGGCGTAGAAAGTTTATTTTCTTCGAGCCATTAAATTAATAAATATTCATATTTTCATTAAAATTTTTCTCTTTTTTTGATTCTATGTACACATTGAAATTTCAAGTTTTTTGTTAAATTATTTTTTTAAACTTTAGAATAGATATAAATATTTTAAATTTTTAAGTACATCAATTTGTATATGACCTTTTTCGAAGGTTTTTTAATATGAGATTATGATAAAATTATTTTTTGAGACAAAGTTATTTAACATTCTCCATTGCAAATTTCCCTCACTTTTCTAACACACCGGGTCCATCCTCTTCAGCATCGAGGTCACTTTAACTTTTCCTGTAGGTTATTGCATTTTTTATTTATTGTTTGCTGATTATTTTTGCTTAATACCTACCTATCTGGCTTCCGAAATATTAATTATGTCCCTTGAAATCAATGATTCGGACGTGACACACAAAAAGAATCAAATTACAGTTGTTTCAAATGAAACAAGCTAGTGGTTAAGCAAAGTCGGTTTCAGACCAGATTTCCGTACATAACCTCAAACCTTAAAACCGTACAAGCAGCTAGACTCCCGGCGGTTTTGAATTTTGAGGTTCCTTAAGAAATTCTGCTCTGGGATCAGCTTTGCTTATCTACTTAACCCGTATATTATCAAAAGTTGTGAAGGTTAATCAAATTTACTTTTAAATAATTTATATTTAGTCGTAAGTTATATTCTATGTTATATTATTTATGATATTTTCTTCATCATATGTTCCACTGTGTTAAGTTTGGTGTAACCCTGATAAGTTTTAAATCACAGTCAATCAAATTATCTTCTTTATCTTTAAATGACAATGACGATTTATAAATATTATGTACAATTTAAATAAAATTAGTAGTACAAAATTAATAAATTAAGTCATTTAAGAACTATGTGTCATTAATTAGTCAGTGCGGGCGAAATTTAGCACTTTAAATTTAATTATTTCAATCAATCAAGGACGGTGGATCTGACAAGAAAAACGGAAGATGTGACTTTTGCATAGAAATGACAAAACCATCCAAAAAACTATTCACCTGAAAAAATGTAATTTTGTTGAAAAAATTGTATTCACTGACGGCCGCAACCGCTAGAAATAAAAAGAAGTGTTGGACATTTCGCATTTGAAAGGATTTAGGTAATATAAAAAGAAGACTTTTTCATGAAAATTTTATCACTGGTTGACCTTTATGACGCATTTTCGTATAAGGTGTTTTTCTTTGAGCGTATAGGCGATTGCTTTACAGTTCTTTTGCTATTTTGTTTATCTGGATCTCCACTGCTACTGTCACTTTCCAATCATGACTACTTTTGATTATAAATAAAAATGATCATGAGGATGATATCGATAGGAGAAAGACGACCTATAAATAAAAAATTATGTTTATTAAGTATATATAGCTAAAAAAGAATCGGGGTCAATAAATACTAACTTAACATTTTTTACTTATTTAAAAAATAAAATAAAAATTAATTTGAGCCATGAACACACATATACTTAGGCTTAACTCATACACAGCATACAAAACAAACGTGCTTTTAGTGCGCACTTAAAAACAAAAATTAAGTTTAAGTCGTTCCGGTAAATTCCGGTTACTGGTAAAATCGACAATCAAAAAAAAAATCTATACATTATTAAAAAAAAATGTACCCAAATTTCTGTACATAATTTGCAGAGCAGTTCTTGGCGTAAACTCGACGTCATTTTGAATAATTGATAAACCGTTAATCAGTTTTTTTTATCGCCGAAATTTTGAGATATCTGTTTAGAAACATTAACCAAGAATATTCGATTCAACCTATTCTTACTATTTACAAATCTTCTGGATTCCTCTTGCCTCGGTTGTTGTTGACTCGAACATCTTTTTCAGAGCTGAACTGAAGAAACCAACAGAATGATTGGCGAAACGTCAGCAACTCAGAATAAATCCAGAAGATTTGTAACTATTACAGTAACCTGTGGAAGTTTCTTTGAAGAATTACCTATTTTTCTTACAACCAAATATATGAACCCGTAAATTAAAAGCAAAATAAACAAAGTCTGTTTTACATTTATCGGAACATGAGACTTGCTAACTTTTATGGGCACAAACCCGATATGCTTAAAAATCCACCTGCAGCAAACTGGAACATTTAAATATCACTTAATTTTGAATTATTGACTAGCTTCAAATTAGCGAACCACCGCCAACTTATATACTATACAGTTTAACTCCAAACATGAATAATATGAACTACCATATCTTTAACTTTTAGATGTGTGAATTTTTAATGCTTCGGAACTGGTAAGATGATATTCAGTCTACGATTTTTTAACCCGTTTCGTTGATAATTGCTTGGTATTTTCGCCAAAGCTACAGGAAAATTTGTTTTAACATTGCAACGACGAAAAAACTGATCGAAATATAATTGCAAAATTTTTGACAGCCGATTCGAAAACAGCCACTACAAAATGCATCAGATAAGCCGTTACTTCTATTCCGATATACCCTTAAAAATGAAACCAGAAATCTCAGAGAAGCTATTTAAACATCAAATAACTCATAATTTTAACAGATTACTTCTTGAGTACTTCACATTGTTCATTTGTGAATAGATAGATGACCGATTTGTCTGGTGTCCTTTGGCTATAATGCGATGTTTCAACAAAATAATCATACAACAAAACAATCATTTGGTTAGACCTAAATTCGCATAAAAACTTATTAGCTTAAGCATGATACACTTCATTTAGTGAAAACATTGTAAGCACAGTTTCCTATCCGAAAGTATTTCAATGTATTATTGTAAAACTAAGTACTACCAAAAATGTTGAGAGGGCCATCGGTATAAAATATTTTTAAAATGGAATTTCAATAAATTGCCTTTATCGATATTGGATAATATTTGATAGCAACACGATGATAATATAGTATATATTCTACTCTACTTTCTACGCCAGCCGAACGCAAGGTGCCACTTTAAAACGTTAGCTTCATCAAACACTGTTCAGTCAGGTCACACGTCACTCAGTGAATGTATTCGTGATTCTTTGAAAATGATTGAAAATGTACCCAAAAACAAATTAATACTTGTAGGAAGCTTGATAAACTTTTATTATGTAACAAGTTTGATAAACGATACTTTAGTCACGAGTTTGTTTCAGTGCACAGATCACAAATTAGACTGAGTAAACAACAATGCTGTTTTTCATTCATTTGCCGTGTTTTAAAACTGTCTCTAGACCAAAATTGTTTTTTATTGTTTAAGGTTATGTCTCACTTTATAACATATACCTCAATTTCGGACATTTTAATAAGGCTCTAGCAAAAGAACCAAAAATAAAATTGACATAACATCAAAATCAGATTAATTTTTTTCATTCGGTCAATATACTCCCTAGGGGAGGTAGGGATCTACATTTTATTGATGAATGATTCAGATCAAAAAGATTAATGGGGCATAAATAATGAAACGTAACTATTTACTAAGTCATTCTTATAACTACTAATATAATATAGAAAATCTCGTTTTCAACCAATGGCCGCGTTGAGCACACCTCAACATTGGGTGATCGGTTCTTTGATACTAATTGTGTGAACCTTTCTACTTGTTTTGAGCTAGATGCAAACGGTTTGATTAACGGTCCTCATTTTCTCAAGTATTCAATAATATCGCTTAATTTAGACATTGTTCATTGACAGGCGATTCAAACCTTAAGAGACTAGGATGTAGAAAATGGTGTTTATAAATATGGTATTACAGACCCTTTAGTAGAAATTTAAAAACATTTAATCGATTCTCATGTTGCAAAGTAGAGACAATGAGATATGAGAAAATGGTTAAAGAAATAGTCAAACAATTAATAAATATAAACAAAAATATTTTGTTGTCATATAAATACTAGATAATATCAGTTATCAGTATAATGCCTCCAGATCGCAAAAATTGATGCGCCGAAGACGATGTTGACATTTTCGTGGCTAAGCTGCACTTTGCGCCATTTTCTTTCTTTTCCATACCTATTCTTTTCTTAACTCTTTTATGCCTAAAGACTTAAAGGGATCTGGCCATATTTTGATAAAATACTGCTGTAAAAATGCCGCAATCAAACTTATTGATGATCTGTCAACGGCGCGAGGTCATTGGTTAAGTTAAAGAAAAAAATTCGTAGATGCTTCATAAGTTCCTTCATAGGGCCTCAATATTTCCAGTGCCTATATGGGTTAAAATGCGCTTCCGTGTGCAAAGTTAAAGTGCCTTTAAACAGTTGAAATGGCTGAATACAGCAAAGTACCTGTGTTGAACAATCCACATGGCCGCTGACATTTCGTCAATTCGAGAGGTTTTAGTTTAGATTTAGCACATTTACGGCAGTTCCGCGTGGGGTTGCTAGTCCCCCATCGGACGCCTCCCCAGGTGGCGGATAGGGGAATGCCTCTCAAGATATGGGTGGTACCGGTGAAATGAAATAGCCGGGGCGGACCAAAACTATATTGGTGAAAGGCAGCAGTTTCATCAAAATCGGGTTATGGCGTGAGAACGGTGTAGTACCGAACACCAGGAGGCGACAAGCAACAGTTCAGCGAACTCGGCTTGTGTACTGCGGTATAGAAAAGGAATGGAACCCTTACTATACAAAAACTTCCAAAACCTCTTAATGGCTGACGAAAACAAAGACACGGCCCTCAGTCCGGGGCACCTCTTAGATGAGGAGAGGGTGCTAAGAATCCCCCCGTCGTCGACTACTAAGAGCAATAACAATGAACAATGAACATTCATTCCCAAGATTGATATCTTGGGAATGAATGAAGTCAGGTGGCCTGGATCTGGTAAACAGACAACTGATAGTGGCGTCATTTACTACTCCGGAGGAACAGATGCTTTTCACCGATACAGAACTGCCATACTTGTCAGCAAGGACATAGACAAATCAGTTATAGAGTTTATACACTTCAACGATCGAGTTACTCTCCTAAAATTACAAACTACTCACCGAAACCTGAACATAATACAAATATACGCCCAGACAAACGACAAAAGTGATGCAGAAGTAGAAGAATTTTACTCAGTACTAGAGGAGGCGATGAAACACGCGAAGAAAGGTGAAATCAATATGGTCATAGGAGATTTCAACGCAAAAGTCGGTTTCGGAAAGGAGAATGATGTTCTAGGTCACCACGGGTTAGGTGAACGGAATACCAGAGGAGATAGACTTGTTCAGTTTTGTACAGAGTCAGGCATGTTCATTGCTAATACATTTTTTAAACAACACCCTAGGAGATTATATACTTGGAAGTCTCCTGTTGATAATGCAGGTCATATTATAAGAAATCAAATCGATTTCATACTGGTAGGACAAGAGCTGAAGAAATACGTGCAAACGGTAAAAACATATCCTGGCGCAGACGTTAATAGTGACCATAATCCGGTAGTTATGGACTTTCTAATGAGACGGTTCAAGAAGATCAGTAGGCCTCAGCCGATTCGTAAAATCAACACCAGGAAACTGTTGACACCAATTGTACACACCCAAGTAAGTGACAAGATCAAATGTGAAATGGCAAAAATCCGAAATGAGGAACAACTGGATATAGAAGAAACCTGGAATAGAATAAAATCTTCAATAACACAAATACAGGTTGATGACATCGGATATCCTGAAGCCAATATGAAGAAAGAATGGATGACCCCTGAAATCCTAGAACTCATGAATGAGAGAAGAGCTCACAAGGCAAATCAAACATTATATGCCAAACTGAACAGAAAGGTCAGAATCGAGTGTGGGATTAGGGTCAACGGGAAAATAATCAACATCAGATATGCCGACGACACCGTTGTGCTGGCCGAGAATGCGCAGGACCTGCAGAATGGATCACATAGTGCGATATAGCGAAAACGTTGGCCTCCTCATAAACACTACAAAAACTAAGGTCATTGCATTTACCAAGACACCTGTTCAGGTTCGTCTAAATGTTGATGGTGCTGCTACAAATATTTGGGGAGCATCATAAATGATCAATGTGATCCAAGAAAAACATTCTTGAATATGAGACGACTTTTCGTAAGATCAGATTTGAGCATGGAGCTCAGGGTACTCATGGTCAGATGCTATGCTTTCTGCGTTTTTCTGTACGGATGTGAGAATTGGACCCTAAACCCATCACTAGAAGAGAAAATAGATGCATTTGAAATGTACATTTACCGTCGTAAATGTACATTTACCGTCATATACTATACATGGGTCCAAAGAGTAACAAACGTAGAAGTTCTCAATCGCATGAGAAAACAAAAAGAACTTATGCTTACCATCAAAGAAAGAAAAACTCGTTATATTGGGCACATAATGCGAGGTGAAAAGTATGAATTTCTGCGCCTAATCATAGAAGGCAAAGTCCAAGGCAAAAGGTTGGTCGGCAGGCGCCAAAACTCTTGGTTGAAAGACATTCGACCATGGTTTGGTTGCTCATCGCTCGACATCTTCTGTATGGCCGTATCTAGACCCACGTTAGCTATTTGTATCGCCAACCTTCGAAAGGAGACGGCACCATAAGGAGAAGAAGATTTACGGCAGTATTTCTCAAAATATACTAAGAACTCGTTAAATGTTCCGGAAAAGGTAATGTGTGGAGATCGAATTAAAAAAAAATCGCCCAAAGTGCAGGTTAGTGTGTGAAATTTAGAGGGACGCGCGGAAAATCATTGCCTTCTCTACGAAAATATCATTGCCGCCTGACGCGCATCAATTTTTACCGTTCTTAGGCCGTTATATTATCTAATAGCGATATGGAGTGACTTGAATTTAGAACAACTACTGACAGACGCTAATCTACCATGACCATAGGTAACTATAGAACCAAAACACAACAGTTTTCAAACAAACTGTGACTAACCTTTTGATTGAATGTGGTAGATAATGGCAGTTGTGTCACTGTCCATTATCGAGCCTACAACGTCGAAAGTCAAGACAATGGAAGTTCAACAATTTCTTAGAATTTAAGATCATTGAAGTTAAATTTTATTTACAGAGTAGCTAGTAAATAAAATATACAAATAGAGTTGAAAATAAGTTCAAATCTCATTTTAAAAATATTGTAGCCCAGTGGCCTCCATGAAGATCATTATAATTCCAAATATCAAATAGATTATATATTTAGTTTTTCCATAATAGGTTGAAGTACTTTCGTTCGAGATATTCAATATTTAACAAAACTACTAACCAACTTGACTTATTTACATTAGGACATACACATCTTACTTCTAAGCTTATTTCATGTTAAAAATTCATTTATCCTAACTATCTAAATGATATGGCACTTGAGAATGTCTCTCCGGAGAATGATTCCGGGAATTTGGCAGTGAAACATTATTCGCAATATATTCGTTACCTGACACAAAACCCGAACTTCTACTTGAAGACCTGCTGCTACCATTGACAGTTTTGTCATTAACAAAGATTCCCAAGTTGCTAGCTATCACCGGTACTGAATTACTTGGTACCGAAAACACACTTTCGCTTTCTGTTAACCGGGTGGAAAAACCAGTGGCCGTGGAGAAATTCAGTTGTTCATTGTCTTTTAATTTGTAGCAACAAGTTTTGAACAAGTTTAGTTTGGGAGCAGACAGGGGGTTAATTTTTGGCGAGTTCACAGGATAATCACATGTTTCTGCCCTGTACACGGGTGTAAAATTATTCTGAAAATAATTGGGATAACTAGTTTGTGTAGATGATATATTTTGGAAATAGTGATGTCTGGTACCATCATTGGATAGGTTGAACCCATTTATGGATAATGGTGCCTTTGAGCCAAACCTGTTCTGCTCAGTAAATTGTGGTCCAACTGCGAGACTTAAATTCGGAGATAAAGAAGAAGGAAACAGCGAATTTGAAAAATGTTCCTGTTGGTGCAGAACCTTATTTGGTGACCGAGTACCTTCAAATCGTCCAAAAGAAAAGACACTATTGGGCGAAAATGAACGATGTGATACCATAAAAGGATTTGGAGATGGCACCCTATGGTCGTAAGACTTAAAAGCGCCTAAGTTCAGACCGTTAAAATGTTTGTCTAAGTCTGTATTTAAAGCAGTATGATTCCGATTTGAAGATAAGTCCTGAGTTGGGGCTATGTTAAGTAAGGATCCAGTCTTGTACAGTCTTGAAAAACTTAGATCTTTGTTGGCAGTATTAGTTGATATTTTGCTTGAACCAAATGAGTTTGAAGTTCCAGTAACACCTAAAGGTTCTGAGTAATCACCTTCCTCATCAGAATATTCTTCACTATTGTAGGTTGAGGAAAGTTTCTTAAATTCATATTTCTTTTTCGATAAATTCTTCATTGGTTCAGATTCAGATATTGCATTGTTGTAAATCAGCCACAGTGAGCAGAAAATCTGAAAAGAAGATATGTGAAAATATTTTTTTATCAATAGGCACAAAAAGTAAAACATCAAAATAGACTACTCAATCTGCATATATAGAGTCCTCAGTTATATGACAATTTTTATATTAGATTGGACTTGAACATATGTTCACAAAATAATTAATAAGTTCTTTAAAATTTTAAATATGCTAAGATATTGTGAAAAAGTACTTGAAAATCAATCAAAGTCTAAAATGGTATTTATATACAATAATAACAAAAGATAAACAGGAACACTGAAAATTAATATCCCTTTGAATCCTCTTACTGTTCTGTTTTGGATAGTTTGGATGCAACTTTTAGGTGAAATAAAAAAGAAATGTTTATTTAACATTTGACTTTAAAATTACCTAGTCACAACTTGCGAATTCCTTATCAGCAGTACTTTAGTGTTGATTTTACTAAATCACAAGTGTAAAAAAAATAGAATTCAGCTACCATCGCAATCCAATTTTTTTCTTTTCAAAACAAGCAAGAAAACTAAGTAACTACATACCTGCAATGTATTCACATAAGACAATATATCCTTGTTGAACTTCCTCATAAATGAAATGGAAAGTATAATCCATCCTAGTAATTTGCTAAATTTTAAAATGGCAGTATTTTTCTTATCTAGTTCCAAAAATGTAGTAATAATTTCTATAGTAAATCCTACCAAAGGCAAAATGGCAGTTCCTTTTATTTTCAACATTTGCAATAAATCTCTTCCAGTTAATTGCCAGTCATACAATTTTAATAAATTGGTATTCAGAAGTGATTCATAAGTTGTAGTGCTGATAATCTGGTTCTCAAAAACAATTTTTCTAAAATATTGCCAAAAATTTGTGTTTAAATCACCAATTTGAATTAAACACAAAATGGATAAAACTATTAGAAATCCCTTTAGAAAGATCAAGTATGCAGTGGGTTTAGCCTCTTGTGTATTATCCTGAGTTAAGTTGTGAACCTTTCTCCTCTCTCTAATCCTGTTAGCAAACAACGAAGCGTTCTGTCTCCTGATGGTGCTGTCTACTGTTTTCCTGCACCGTCTACATAGTTTGTAGGTTTTCTCAAGCTGTTTTCTAAAAGAAAACATGCAACTATATTTGTTGCTAACACTCTAAACAGGACTACAAAATTTATATTTAAATGACCTATTACATATTGGATAAATAGCATTCTCTAAATAACCAAAACTAAATTTGGACTTACCTAAAGTGATCTATTTCAACATCGTAATTGTTTTGATTTAGAGGTTCATAACTTGCTAACTGAATTACTTTCAAATTTAAATTATTATTACAATTATTACATAGGCCATTACATGAAGTTATTCTATTCTCTGCAGTAATTGTTTTTGAGGTATTTGAGGTATTCCGTGAACTATCACGTTGAGCTTCAATAATTTTATTATAGTCACCTTCCTACAAATATATTACAATACTTCTGAGATTAGATATTAAGAGTCTTACCTTATTAAATCCGTTATACTGCAAACATATTGGACAATCGAAACTATTTCTTAAAGAATATAAAACTCTTGAGTTTTCATTGCAAAACCAACAATTAACGCAAACATAAAAGCCATTCCTGGAATAAATCAAATCATTGCCGTTTGAGGAGAGCATTTATGACTTTACCAACCTTAGAATAAAATGCAAATTTAATATTAATGTAACAAATAACAAACAGACAATAATGATAAAAAAATAAGTCAATACATTCTCCACACTAAAATCCATTACTAAGAGGAAATTGGGCCTTAATTCACATTAAAATAAAACAAACGAATCACAAAATTGGCGGCATGATTCTTCGTAAATTAACATAACCATATTTTTTTTGTTCACAGAACGGTAAAAGGAAACTTCAACAATCCAATCTGTGCCATTGATTAATATCTGGTAAGAACATTTTTATGGAAAACGAGGATCTGTTCGGAAAAAAAATAAGGTTCCATTGAATTCTCGAGGGAACCATTGCACATGGCAGACGTACTCCAGCCCGGTTCCATAAAATGTAGAAATCGGTTGAAATTAGTGTCGTTTGATGTAAAATACTGTTTTGTATATTCGTTATCTGAAGTGATAGAGGTGCAGTACCTATAATTTTGGGAAATAGTGTTTGGCTTATGCGGATGTACATGGTTTTGTTTATGTGTATGTTACACTATTTCCAGATGTCTTATATTCACGCAGGTAACCTGGCCAAATTGAATCGGAAATGCCGTATGAGAAAATTGCGGGAGCCGTTAGAAGAATCGATCGTCATTTTATGACAATTTATTTAGAAGCTGTTCCACTGTTTGAATCTGTTAATTCATTGGATATCCATTCCCCTTGAAGGGTGATGGATTCGTCCAGTCCCTTTTAATTAAGACACCCTTTTAGGTTCCTTCCTTCCATTACTTCTATAGACCAAAACTACTATGATCACTCGGCCACTTACGAATATTGTTCAACATTTACTTTATAACCTGGAGAGTGCCTTAATTAAAAGGGACTGAACGGATCCATCACCCTCCGAGGGGACTCAAACAACAAATGGAACACTTTCCGATTGCAAAATAAGGCCTCCCCCGCTAACCCCGCGGACAAACCAGGTCCATCCGGCCTCCATGCCGGCGTGAATAGGAAAAAACCACGGGGCCCACAACGATTATAAGTTTAAAACATTCATTGAACACTATAAACACTAAATCCACACTGTGGAAACCGATTTTAAAAATTTTTGGGGACGATTACAAGGGATTCTGTAGGGAACGAACAAAGGTTAAACCGCCACGTTCAATGCTCCAGAAAAATCACCATTCACCGAAAAAATCGCCGAATGTTCTTAGCCAATAGAAGTAAAAGAAGAAGTAGGTTACATTGTAACAAAAAGAAGACGTAACCTACAAAATTCTGGAATTGTTAGAAAATTTCTATTAAACAAAAATTGTTTATATATCTAATATGAGTTTACCTACTGATTTTGGACCGGATTCCGGAGGTCGAATGAAGGTATGTGCGTGAAATTTCTCAAGATGCCAAAATTAAATTAGATTTAATTTCAGGGTGTTTGTATTGTTAAACCAATTGTATATGGCAATATCGCAAGATATTTCGGTAAAAAGCGGGAAGAAGATGGCCATACCCATCAGTGGACTGTATATGTTAAACCTTACAACAATGAAGATATGTCTGCTTATGTTAAAAAGGTTCATTTCAAATTGCATGAAAGTTATGCCAATCAAAATCGAATTGTAGTCAAACCTCCATATGAAATTAGCGAAACCGGATGGGGCGAATTTGAAATTGTTATTAAAATCCATTTTCATGACCCAAATGAAAGACCAGTAAGCTTTTGTGTGAAAGCTATCTGTTTACCGTTACTAAAAATTTTAGGTTACAATGTATCACATACTCAAACTCTTTCATTCGGGAAATACACAAGATATTGGAATAGAACAAAATAAAGGTTTAGTATCGGAAAGTTATGATGAAATTGTATTCCAAGATCCTACTCAACTTATGCACCATTTGTTGACAAATACCAAACCTCTAACATTAGGCAGGTGGGAGCACAATACAGACTGTAAGTCTTAGGAATTTATGTAAATATGTGACATATGTGTCGAGTACAACATGGTAACTTATCTTATTTCTTTGTTTTACTGTTTTTGCCAGGTTAATAAGTGGAAAAACACTTGTAACTTGCCAAATTCGGCAGCCTCATAGCTTGTATTGATAATTAATAGAAAAGACAAAAAAGATAAATTTTAGTGCCTGTAATATTAGCTGTAATAACTTAATTACTCTTTTAGTTGAAAATCGCAAAGATAAAACTTTGAAAGCGATCATTGAAGCCAAACAGAAAATAAAATCAGAAATAGCTATTTCAAAAACCAAACTGAAGCTTGCCAAGGAAACTATTCAACAGTTTAAAGAAGAAATTGCTAAAGTCCAGAATGGTCAGTACACAATGTAAAAATAAACTAGAAGTGAAGTTCGATTCCAATGACTGATTTACTTTAAATATTAAATTTAATTTTTATACATATTTTTATTCTAATTGTAAATAAGACAATTACATCCGTAAAAATTGGTTATTTAATTTAACCCACAGCTGATGTTATAAGCTCGGCCACACCTTCATCTGTAGATCGGACAGTCAACTGCATTGTAACGCCATCTGCGAGGGCTAGCTTTGCTCGTACAAGAATATCTACACCACCACGAAATATTCCTTAAAATATAAATATTAATTAAATAATTAATGTTGATATTAGGATTGCTTAATTTAAGAACACATACAAAAACTTTCTCATTAGTATAAAATTTTGTGGAATTTAAACGCTAAAATTAGAGTATGCAATGAGTCAAAATATAATTTTTTATAGCAATAGTTGAAGTTTTTAGGGAGCACCGCAATTTAGAGAATACAGATTTTTTTATTCTTTGATAATTACAAATAAAATCATACAAATTCAATGTTTTATGGTGTTTCTAGCAAATATATTAAAAAAAAAAGGACAGAAAAATCTCCTGAGCTTTTGAGTTACAAAAATTTTGGTTTTGCGTATTTTTGATTATATTTTTTGAAGATTTTTTTTTTAAACATTAGTTCTGAAGACATCAAAGTTGCTCTTTCCTAGCAATGCCCAGTGCTTTAAATCATTTCTAGATTCACCATAAAATTCTTTTTAAAATGATGTACCACTCTTGATCTCAACCTAGTGTGGCCCTGGAGTGGCATATAAACTCGATTTATTTCCCTGGCACAAAATTACGAACCAAATTTAATAATTAATAAAGTTGACTTACTTAAATTAAGTTTTAGACAAAAATTTCTTATATAACTAGGCTTGGAAAAATTAATTATCTAGTTAACCCCCAGGTGAATAGCAATTGTATATCTGTATTATAATTATAATAAGGAATTTCCGAAATTTTCTCAATTTCTATAAACTTTGAAAAGCTTTAAAATAATTCTTATTTTGCTAAAAATTTTAGAAGGAAAATTAATACATTATGTTGTACAGGGTTATCAAATAATTTGTATGAGGGTTAGTTTTTCTTCTCGCATTGTATAACAGTGTTAGATTGCAAGATCAAAGTAGTATTAATTGCACAATATTTTTAAAATGATCAGCAAGGATTAATGTTTAAAAGTTAATTGAATGTTTTGCTCCAAAGCTGATCTTACATATACAAAAATCTATTCATGTATTTGCGAGTAAAAATTATAAAGTAAAATTTAAACACTTAAAACAACAAAACAAAAAAAAACTGGAACTAATACTGGCTTAGGCATTATAGAAGTTAATAGGTTCAATAACAATAGAATCATCTATGATTTTGCTAGTATCTTGGGGAGTGTAAGAATTGTGGTTTGTTGTTACCTTTTCCTTTAATAAATAACTACCATCTAATGTAAGTATTGTGCGATGTTAACTTTTTGGGAACCACTTACCGGCTAATAATAAAGTATGTGTGGTTTTTCCTTCAGGAACCTTGTCGCTTCTTTCAGCAGGCTGCAAACCTAAAAATTGAACTATGTTTTTTACAGCTTCCTCTAAGGTGTTCATTGAGCTCAATGAATAGGTGTCCTCTACTTCGTGGAAACTTGAGGCGGCTTCCTCCCAAGAGGCAGCCCAATTAGCTTTGGTGACCTTTTGAACTTGATCTCCTAAGGTTATTTCCAGATCTTCAAGAATATATTCATCATCGTAACCTAGAATTTGAGTTGTTGATGAATAGGGTACTCAAGACAAAACGACTAAGCCCAAACATTTTACTATTTAAAAATACCTTATTTTTAAGTGGCTATTAACTGTGAGGGAAGTTGGGAGATGATGGATAATGGGGTGAGTTTTTATTCACTAGGGTCCATAGTAAAATTTCAAGACAAAACTAAAATTGAATGAGCCCTCCTAGAGAAGATTACAATACAAAACGTAACAGATAGTGTAATACAGGGTGTTTCAAAAAACGTCCTGAGTAAAATATTAAAAAATAACATTAGTTTGGTTAATAAACGTGTCCTGAAAATACCTCCATTAGAAGATTATGTCAAATATAGGTATCAAAAATTCGTTTTTTATTTTTAATTCTGATAAGTTCCAATATTTTTGCCTAAGAGTTGTTTCTGAGACAAACATTATTCCTTGAAATAGTTTATCCTGCACTTGAAAGTTACCTAAAGTAATTTATTAGTTTGGTCAGCATTACTTTCTAAAACCTCCAACACCAGTAATTTGTTTGACTTTGAACAAGAAAGTTTGGAGCAACAATAAATGGCACCCTCTATTGAAACATTGAGTATATTAAGCACTGCGAATTATGGTTATTATTTGGTGTAATATATTGTTGTAAGTAGTGATAAATGTAATCGTCTTCTGACGGCCATAATTGATCAGCTGTTTCCATTGTACAAGCCCCAAACATAAAACATCAAACCATTAACTTACTTAAAAATAATATGCTCATAACTTACCATCATCAGTGTCCGGTAATCCTGTTGAAGGATCACAGTCCTTCACAACAAACTTGAGCACAGCACCAAAAGTTCCAATACTGCTAGGCAAGTCTTCTGGAGTTTTCAGAATGATGTACGTTGTCCCAGTCTCATTATAAGGTAATTTCTCACATGGAACTTCACTCAATATTTCATATCCTAGAATAATATATCCGATGTAAATGTTTGCAGGATTGATAAAGCATGACGCGAGCAAAATCATATGTATACTAAATTCTGCCATAAGAGTGTCAGGAAGCTTGGAGCTAAATCACACAACATATAATAATGTTACACTTTGTCGACATCTATCCTGATATTTTTCTGGAAAATTTATTATTCTTAGACATTGTAAAATATTTTCTAACGATTTAAAGTGCATTCTTGGGCAAAACTGACTGACTTTGAAGGATGGTGAGCATAGAAACCTGAAGTACAAAAAAACAAAAAAATTTTGACTATTCCTATACAATTTTGTAGTTGTCTTTTGAAACTACCTCAGGCTACTGTAATACTTTTTACAAAACTTCTTCATCAATCGTGTTGGCTTCTTCAGAGCTTAACTGAAACTGGCTCGCATTTTATTCTGTAGCCAATTATATATTGTCTGAGGGGGGCGGAGCTAAATAAAGGGACATGAACATTGTCTGGGATAACTGATTTTCCATTACAAATTACCATTGGTAACAGGTAAAGACCTGAGTCGCGGTTTATATTTTTTGGTTGCTTATAGATTTCTATAGATACTCGGATTTTTCATTGGTAGAAGCACTGATTTTTGTTTTTTTAACTAAATATTAGAGGATAAAACCGTTACTGTTTTCAAACGCAGGGAACCTGCCTGATTACGCCATTAAATAGGAATAGGATAAAAATGGGGATAAAATGTTGATAAAATTACCATCGCTGGGCTCCAACTGGACTCGCACATTTTCTAACAACTGGTCGCTTAAAGTATTGAGACAATCAAACTGTAAAACGACATGTTTGGCAAAGCAATGTTTTATACATCTCACAACGTATTCAGTTTCAGATTCTGTTAATTCGGAAACATCAGAACTGCGGAATAATGGTCCAAATTCCAAGACATCTGAATAAAAACAATGCAGATTATTTCGCGCTAAACCTCTACAGTATCAATGTTTTTCAAAATAATTTACCAGGAATGGAATTCAATTTTTCTGCGTAATTTTCTTCTCTCGATGCTGGTACAGACTTAGGTTGGCCGGAACTAATGAGCATCCCTTCAGCTTTATGTTTAACCTCCTCTTCTGACTTGGTTAATGCAGCCACTGGCACTAATCTTATATCGAATGGTCTGTCTGTAGTCGACTGTGTATACTCCCTTAATGATCTTTCTAATGCTGGGATAGAAACCTACCACCAAAGGGGGCACACATGATTGCAGAGTACAACAGTCAACAGTATAGTTACGAGAGATGTTTCCAAAGTTCTAACAATTCATGATGATAGATTTACATTTAAAAACGCCAGCTTAAAGTATAATGGAAAAGTTATAGAACACTTAGAAAATTTAGGTCTTATGAAGAATGGTATTCAGACGAGGAAATTGGAAGCAGAATTGAACAAGTCTGAGACGCATTCCTAAAATTTAAAAAAGTGTTCACTTGCAGCGACTTTGACCTTGGTCTTCAGCAGAAATTTGTGGGCTGCTATGTTTGGTCAGTCCTTCTGTACAGTGTTGGAGGCTGGACACTAAGAATAAAAACCATAAAGAAACTGGAAACATTTGATATGTGGATATACTGCAGAATCCTTAAGATACCATGGACAGCCAGAAGGAGAAACAAAGATCAAGAACTCTTTAACATTGTAAAAAACAAAGAAAGACCATCCACCGCGAGAAAAAGGAAAGACGTTTTGAACGATTTATGATGACAATTGCTTCCGCACCCACCTTACTCAAGGGATCTTGCAACTAGTGATTCTAAATTGGATGATTGGGGAAACACCTAAAAAGTTCTTGGAGGATGCCTTAAAAAAAATAGTTTCTCATTAACATAATTATATTCAGTTAAATGGAAATTATGTTGTTACAGCTAGCTGAATTCCCAGAACTTTGCAAACATCGCTTGTATTTATCATGAGCAAAGGATAAGTATCTGCCAGTCCAAATGACATATTTTTAATGCCAAAGTTTTTTTTAATTTTGGGTGAGTGAAAAAATTATACCTGTAATGTATCCAATATATAGTTGTTGTATAAACTTTTGTCATGCCTGCTTAATATACTGATGTAGTAAGTGGCACGATCCCTAACTTCGTCATCGGAATCCATCTGACAGCGCGCAAGTAAAACCAAAATATTTTCTAACAAATCGGGACAAGATGCGCCAAACTGAGCCATTGCTGATACCGCGGCTGCTCTAATTGTAGGACATTCCAATATCACTCGATTATAAATAAATCTTATATATCTGAAAAAACAACATATAATGTGTCAGCATGAGATGTAAGCAATAGCTATTACTCATATATTTATTGTAATTTATTTGGTTTTCTACAATAAGAGTCTGTCATAAGTTACTATACCAAAAGTAAAAATTATATAAAAGATAGCAGGAAAAAACATATGCCATATTCATGAATATATTGTCCAAAGTTCGCAAAACATATCCCCTTTATCCAAAATAGAGTGCAAGACTACACCCAAATAATTTTTTTGTTGTATTTTCTCTGGAAAATCTGGAAGCCACAAGCAACACCCAAAATTTGAAATATTTCTTTGGCACAGAGTATTATACTATTGGGTGATTCTTTTATACATCCATAATTGTATATTTGTATATAATGGAACACCTGGTATATTCTTTTATTTTTTGAGTTCTAAGCAAATTTCATGGTAGGTTCCTCAAGGTTTACTTAATTTCAACAGCTACTCAGATATCTTGATTAATTTTCAAATTTCGAACCATTGTTGGCTAGTGGTAATGACCTGAAGGGTAAATGAAAAAAAAATCGATCCTTTAAAAGTTTTTGGTTTCATTTACCTCAAAGGAGTTAAGATAGCTACAACTCGCCACCTGTCTAGGTCTTTGGATTTTCACGACAAGTAAAAATAACCACACAGATTCCGATTGAGTGTATAGTTTTAAAATTATACATATTTTATTTTGATCTGTTTTTTTTTTGAAAATGAAATTTATCACCAACTTAATTTTTTGAAAGTGAATTAAAACTATTTTAAGTGATTTATAGATGTTACTATAAAATCCTTAACGTAAGTATTTTTCTAATCAAAATCTCAAAAAGGAACATTTTAAAACGAATTTAAAAAATATAACGATAACAGTAAAATATACATTGTCCACATTGATGTTACTAACCTTGAGGGCTGTTTTGTTTTTGGTCCCTCTTTTCCTAGTAAATGCAGAATGCGTACTGCTAAAGAAACATGTTCGCAATCCTCGATAAATTCGCACAAATGTGCCAATCCGGTTTCTTTAGCTTCCGGATTATCTTCAATTATTGTGATGATAGTATCAGCAATTGAAGCCTTGTATTCTAAACCCCCTTCATCTCTTAACATTGCCGATAGAAAATTCATAAGCACGCTGTGTTTTCTGGGAAATTTCAGTGCAAGAGCTTTTATTGCTTGCACCACGACAACTTTAAATTCATCACTTATTTCAGATACAAAAGTTGCTATTTGCTTCATCAGCCTATCGACAGAGGATTCAGCTCCTACAAAAAAGGATGATAACAGGCAAATAATAAATATTAATTCAATTAATTAATAAATAGCCACGAAGTAACGAAATAATTACAAAATCCAAAGGTAACTCAAAATGCTACTGCCTGAGTGAAAATTAAATTAAACATGATAATGTTATATATTCACCTGTCTTTAAAAGTGTGGTAATTGCCAATGTGGCAATTGAGCGGTTGGAGTCGGTAATTAAATTTTCCAAATCCAAGTTACAAGCCGTTACAGCTGCAGGATGTGAAATAGCAACTTGATTTAGTGTCCTAACAGCAGCAAACCTTAATGTTGGTTTTGGAGAACCACAGAACAACTGCAGAACACTGATTGCCTGTGTCAGTTCCCTGCTTGTGGTACGAGTTAAATTGACCACTGCATGTGCTGCTTCATAGACCACCATTTCAGATTTATGACGGAAACATGATTCAATATATTCAAAATAGGGAGAATCACTACCAGTGTCTTCCTCTTCTAACATTTTTGCCGCAATCCTAATCTTCAGAACAAATAAATTATTATAAACAATTCGGACTAGATTAAAAAACAAATAAAAAATTAAAATGCAAAACATATCTTAACCGAAAATTATGATCGAAATAAGGCAGAGAGAAAGAGTGATGGACAGACCTAGTCTCCACACAAAAAGGTCAAGTGGAAAAAATAGACAAAGCAATTAAAATTGTTTTTAAAAAACGCTCAAAACTCTTAGAAAAGTTGAAACTGATAAAAATTAAAAATAAAAATGAAGACATATTGGGAGAAAAACGAGATAATAACTACAATAATCAGAAGAACCCAGACAAATATGTCATAGATAACCACGGTGAACAGTATATAACAGGAGAAGTAAATGTAATAAAGGAACTTAAAAACATAAAGGCAGCTGGATGTGATAAAATAACAAAAGAAGTGATGAAATACTTTGGTTAATTAATAAAGTTTGGTCAAAAGAACCTCAAGATTGGAAGACAGCTTCAATAATTCCAATATACAAGTAATATACCGTACAAGAATCTCAAATTGGATTCTGAAAAGGTTCAAGTATACAGGATCACATATCGTCACTTAAACAAATAGCTGAAAAAGCATTAAATCATGACAAAGAAATATATGTGCTTTATTGACATGGAGCAAGCATTTGCTAAGGTACCAACTATGGAAAATTTCAGCCAAAAAAAAAAATTGAAAATAAAATGGCTAGTGTTCAAAAATATATACAAAAAACCATATACAATATACTAAAATACGATTTTAGCATGATTCATAACCAAAGCAACCAAAGCAGGGTTATTGCAAGGAGGAGGCCTAAACCCTTTACTATTGACAACCTTTATTGATGAAATAATAAATAAATGCACAACGATGGTCAGGAAATTTAATGTGGACTATAGATACATGAAAAATGCTGAAGTGTCTGAAGGAGTGCTTGCCGAGTTGTAATCGCAGGAAGCGACTTACAGAATTGCATGACAACATCCAACAATGCTCTAAAATAATGGTGATAAGAAACGAGCACAAAGAAATACAAATAAAACTGGATAATATATTCATCTAGCAGGTCACAAATTTCAACTGCTTAAAAGTAGAAGTACAGAGCAACAGAAAAAATATACATACAAACATGAAAATTGAGTTGATCAGGACATCTACAAAGATTGAAAAATATGTGTCACATAGAGCAGGTGTGGGAAGCAACCAGACAGAAAAAAGGGAAAATTGGAAAATCAATCCAACCATAGGAAAGAAATAAAAAATAAGTAAAGTTTTTACATGAATATGAAACCAGTGATACTTAAAAATGATATTCAAGGTGTAAATGTCATATTATTAACCCTACACCATTATGTAATTGTAACAAAGTTTTTTTAACAATATAGATAATATGTTAATATTATATATAATAATGTAATGTGTTATTATATATAATATTGTATAATATAATATATAATTCTTATATCAATAGGTAACAATTTTTATGCATACCAGCATACACACAGCATATGGAGACTTCAAAGACATTCTTGTTAATCTTGATACCAACTTTGTTACAGCCAATCTATCTGTTTTTCGTATATGATAAAGTAGACCCAAAGCATGATATTGCACCATTATACTATAAACAGACAATTATAAAATTTTAAGTCAATCTTCAACATCAATTTTACTTGTCATTATTGACTGCTTCCTGAGCTTCATTGACCCATCTCTTCACAACTTCTGGAGCAATCCTTGTCATATGCAGGGAACTCACTAAGGCCGCAGAACTTACAGCTGGGTTACGATCAACAATGGCTTGTTTCATATATCTTTCAATGGCTTGCAACATAGTTGCATCGGTGATACTGCATAATGCTCTAATAGCAGCAGCTCTGTACATGTCTTCCTTACCAGTCATATCTTTCGTAAGACTTGATGTTACTATAATGACATCATCTGCAATGGAGCTTAACTCTTTTATTCCCAAGTAAACAAGTCTTCTTAGAATAACATCTCGAGATTGAAAAAGTTTAGTCATTGCAAAAAATACATCCGTAGCTTCTTTAACACTTAACTGTTCACCCTAAAGGTATTAACAATATTTAGCATACATCATTAACATATTTAAAACAAACCTGGTTCAACATGTAAAGAAGTTTGGTTAAAATTGGAGTACATTTTCGTGGATTTACCGACGTTTCATTAAAAATTCTAGCTTCTTGAAGAACCGTTGTTTTTTCAATATTTAGGAAAGGATTACCTCCTCCTAAAATGAAGTATCTGATGAATTTAATATCAAGTTACTATTAATGTATACCATCTTCCTCCTCCTTTTTATCCCTTTTAAAAGAACTCATTTTAAAATCAAGAAGCGATTTTTTCAAAATCCACGTCACAATTTGACACCCACGGATGTCCAACACAGATAAATAAGATAAAAATTAGGTAAAAGAGAGGACAAAGATCAAAAATGGATAGAACGTTTTTGAACGAACCAGAACGTAAAGAATAGATTACGATTAGGAATTTACGACCATCTAAAAATAGTCACGTGACTGTAGCGCTACGGTTTAGTTGAGATAATTTTCATAATAACTATATTAGTGGAAAATTCCATGCTGAGCGAAGAAAAATGTCTTGTAACTTTTGTGTTTTAATATCATGAATAATCCGTTTGTGAGATTTTGCAAATGTTCAGTACATGGGCCGATTGCACGTAAACCTAGCCCGTTTGCAATTGAAACCTAAATAAATATTAATTTTCAAGGTAAATAAGGGTTTATTTACGTTTTATTTTTATTAAAAAATATGTCGCTAAATAACAATACGGGAGTGTTTTCTTCCAAGGTCATGAAATAAACGAAGAAAGAAGAAGTAGATGTTTTTTGAAGGTTAGGAACCAAAATACAAAACTAATTTTTTTGGACGATTATGGAAGCAAAATCTGGAGATTGGTGTTTAATTGAAAGCGACCCTGGAGTATTTTCCGAGTTAATTCGCGAATTCGGTAAGTTATAGTAGCCATTGAACCACTTTCAAAGTTACAATAATTATATTGGTAAAAATATTTTTAAGGTTGTAAAGGAGTACAAGTGGAAGAATTATGGAGCTTAGATGGTGAACAGTTCGATAGTTTGAAGTAAGGCATTAGTTTTGATTTTCCTTATAATTTTTTTATGTCATATCATTTTAGACCTATTCATGGATTAATTTTTTTGTTTAAATGGACAAAGGATACTGCAGAACCTAGTGGTTCGATTGTTCAGGATAACCGATTAGAAAAAATATTTTTTGCTAGACAAGTTATAGAAAATGCTTGTGCTACTCAAGCAATTTTGAGTGTGTTGCTTAATTGTCGTCATCCAGATTTAAAGCTGGGCCCAACACTAACTGAATTAAAGGACTTTTGCCAGAGTTTTGATGCATATATGAAAGGTTTAACTATAAGCAATTCTCAAGTAATTGCCTCTGTGCACAATTCCTTTGCTAGGCAACAAATATTTGAATTTGATCCCCTGGCTGCCAGCAAGAAGGAAGACGCATACCATTTTATCAGCTATGTGCCCATAGATGGACGTCTATATGAACTAGATGGTCTGAAAAAAGGGCCAATTGATTTGGGAGCTGTGCCTGTTGAATCTGACTGGACCGATATAGTCAGGCCTATGATAGAAAAAAGAATGCAAAGGTATAGTGAGGGCGAGATTCATTTTAACCTCATGGCAATTGTGAGCGATAGAAAAATGCTTTTGGAAAGACAGGTGGAAGAAATACGAAAGCAAATTGAAGCAAATGGAGAGAGTGAGTCTGTACGTAATGAACTGACAAAACTGCATTTGCTAATTGAAGAAGAGGAAAATAAGAGACGCCAGTACAAAACAGAGAATATCAGGAGGAAGCACAACTACCTGCCTTTAATAGTTGAAATTTTAAAACTACTAGCCAAGGAAGGCAAGTTAACTCCTTTATATGAACAAGCAAAAGAAAAGGCACTAAAAAAACAAAAAGAATAGCAATACCTAAATAAATGGTTTCTTTTTTAATAATAAAGTGTGTTCTTTGTGGCCAGAATTTCAAAAATTATTTTTTTAAAAGTACATAATAATTGTTTAGAGAATATGCGGATGATCACTGATAAGTATAATGATTTCTGTAATGCCTGCAAAATTGTTGCAAAAGGTATATTGCAGTCAAAAACAAAAAAAAAAGAACGAAACAAAAAGAAAATCTAGTTGTAAATATTGCTCTAGATTTTAAAACTTAAGGTCAATATTTAACTTTTTTGTTATTAAATATCAATAACAACATTCTAAGAAATATTCATGTATTTATACAAGTATTTACAAGTTAATATACAAATTATGCATGTGCAGTTTGAACTGTATTTACATTTATTATTTATTTTGCCTTTGATGGAAGAAATCCTCCTTCAATGAGTGCTTGTCTTGCAGCATTGTTTATATGCTTAAACCTATCAGGACCCAATAAAATACCACCATACCTGAAATCTTTTGTTTACATAATATCACCCAAAGACAGTGTTCCTACCATCTTGACACAACAACTGCAACATTTTTTAGCTCCAATATTTCTAATAAATGCAATAATCGTCCACCGGCATGAGTTTCACCATCATCATCACAATCCTGAATAATTGACTTATCAGATAACACCCTATAGGCCCAGATATTGTGTGTTGCTTGGGCAATTTTTTTATTCTCTAGCAAATATTCCAAAAATTGCCTGAAAATATTAGTGTTACAAACTATTATAACGAAAAATTTTAATAAAACTTCATAGCTCACTTAGAAACAAAAATTAGGGTGACAATACCTAAACTGCTTCTGATTTTTAATGGAGCACATATGTCCTTGAAAAGTACTTTTCCTATCCACAATTATAGGCCCATGAATCACTTCTGACACATGTTTGTTATCAACATTATGTTCTTCATCAGACTGAAAAGAAGCACTAGTAATCTGGTCTGGCAGTTCGTAATTGTTTTCAGAAGTCTCTAATGTAATTTCCTTTAGTTTTTCAATCCATTGATATATAATAGGACTTCCTCTTTCCCTACTAGTAAAGTGGCTTCATAATCTTCATTCCTCATCCTTAATTATTTTAAACTTACTCAAATATAGTTTTAAATTCCTGATCTACCAAGTCTTTTTGTGATTTACTTAACGTGGGAGCCAACAATTCATGGGTTGGAGGCAAATCTGAAGGGTATTCTGGATTTAGAGTAATCCAGAGCTCCACATCTCTAGTAATCTGTATACAATAACTGCCAGCTTCTGAATTGAAGTGCCATTGATCTTCGAAGATTGACTTCAATGCCTCAATTTCGTCAGCTTGTTGTGAGATATTGTCCATATTAGATATTTTAATTTGAAAGCGTTCGTAACCACGCAACCATGGAATGTTTTTATCATTGAAAAATGTTGTTTCATATTCTCGTCACTACGTCTTAATAAAACTTTTGTTACATAAATAATCTATGCTAAAACATTTGCATTGGCTCTTGACCAATGACGTAAACAAAAAAAGAAAGAAAAGAAAAGGAAAATGTTTTTCAGTATCCATCTATTTGGTATGAGTTGCGATAATTGTCCTCTAAATTCGTTCTCAACGAAAATATCGTATTTCTGTAAATTGTTCGATTTTAGAAAAACAAGCGTTCAACTATTTTTTATTGGTTGTCAAAATCAGCAGTGAAAAAATGTCAAGCCAGTTCTCCATTATTATCGTTTCTCTATAAATTAAGCCTACTGAGGCTTCCGACGTCCAAGCGAAGGAATGTGGGAGCTTAAGAGGACTTATTTTCCTTAAATTCATTTTTTAAAATACTTAAACCTAATAGTTATTAATATTATTTTTCTCTGAAATGTGTGAAGTGCGGTATATTTTTGTATCCAATAAAAGTAAAACTTTGAATATGCTTTCTTAATAATATGTTAATGTTAATACATATTGTAAATATATAGGTACTAGAGATAAAGAGGTCTATGCCGATAATACAGGAACTTATAAAGCAACCATGAACATAATTTTGAGGTCATATACCGTTTTGTGTGCACAATACTCCACCAAAATATAAAAAAAAATGTTAATATTTCATAAAGAATTCATGGAGATGATTCCCATACTTCATGAATGATTTTACGTTTTAGTCAGTGACCAAAACTGAATGTCATAGTCTATGTGTACCGAATGTCAGGAATAAACATGCTCACATTAGAAGCAAAGAAGACTACTGTGATAAGAGCCTTCAAATTTACATTTCTTCACTTTTAGACTTCAATAAAATGCAATAGATATCTAATTTTTATAATTATTGTTCATTCAAAATGTCTTGTTTAAATACAAATTCTTTTTTGTAACTGTACAAAGAATCACCTATACAACTATTCTGACAGGTATAAATCAGCAAAATACCCCAATCTACACTATCTTCTTTTAAAAGTGTGATCATCTGGGGCATGATTTGAAACTCAAATTGGCGTTTGGCGCCACAATATTCACAATTGGGAATGGCATCTGGCACCGGTTCTTTAGCAATAAATAAAGGTTGACCACCTCGACAGTAGCGAATAACTTGATCAGGATATTCAGATATCTTTTTCTTGAAGTTTGAGAATATCTTATCTTCGCTATGACTGACATGAGCATCCAACTCATATTCAGATACTCCTGCCAATGTACCGGTCCTTCCTTCAGCTTTCATCCGATCAAATTTTTTTAGCTCAACGCCTTCATTAATGACTTTTGTTTCAGTCTCCTCAGTAATAGTGGCAACTTCCCATTCAGTGAATAACATGTTTGACTTATATTGGGTTGTTATATCCTTCAAGCATGACAACTTGTGACCTTCTTTCCAGTCACATATTTGATGTTCACGACAACAATAATAAACTTGTTTACATTTGCTGCATTTCTTCTCAGCAAAACAACCACAAATGTTGCACAATTCGACCCATTTCAATAGAGAAAAGCTTTCATCAGGCTTTTCTTCAGGAGGGATGTATGAATAAAACTTATTGTCTCTTGGTAATGTGCTTCGAAATACTTTTATGTTTTTGCTGTTGTTATTTTCACAGCACAATGAATTTCGACATACAAAAACAAAGAGGGTCCTATGAAAATTATTTGCCAAAGTATTAACATCTATCAGTTCCCTTTCATAGGGAGCGTAAATCTGACATAAGAATATCATAATACATTTACATTCTGGGCACTGTAGGTCTTCAAATTTTGGAAGCTTTTCGAGGCTTAACCAAGCTGGTTTACCTCCCACTTTACTAGGAAAAAGGCGACTTTCCAGTTTCCATGAATCGGACTCTTCTAAAAATCCCAATTCAATGCTCATCTCACGCTTTTTTAGAAACTCACTAGCGTATTTTATGTTTATTTACATTTGCAACAAGGTTTTCTAAATATCAGTTGCTAATAACCACGGTTCGACTTTAGTTAGTTAGTTTACCATTAACCAGTTGTCACGGATAACATTCCCCGAGTATCGTTACGAGAAATGTAAAACAATTTACGGCCGGTAACTGGTCGAACCCAAGGACTGTAATAAAAGATTGTTTTGGTTTATTAATTGCTTAAACAGGGGAGAATTGTCATTTTCCATAAATTCCGCTATACCGGTCAACCGCAAGAGGGAATTTCACACCTTAAGACTCTCAATCACAAGATACATTGTTTCGTAATAAAAATGATTAAATATGTTTTAAAACAGTATACAAATTTTATTTCAAAGGTCGCTATAAACAAAAAGTTGTGACAGGCATAGATAATGTAATGTTACTTAATTCCTATTTTAAGGCAAATACTAATAAGCCTTTAGACCAATTAATTTCCGTGTAACAGGTGTCAACTTCGATCTATACTTTTAGAATCATATGATTAAAATGTAAGTGATTATTCAGACTAGAAAGGTGTAATCTATATTAAAGTAATTCAAATGGCACTCTCAAAGCATTTGCTAATTAATCAATCGATAATTGCTTTTAACTTCCAAAATTGTATACTTGGGTTGGCAAGCATTTGTCACTCAACAGATGAAACGAAACGTCAAGCGAAAATGTCACAATTACCGAAAGAAGATAAAATGTCCAGCTTGTTAAAATTGGCACAAAAATTTAATTGCTTCTATTTGTCAGGTACATTGATAAATTAATTATTGTATAGAAATGTTTGTTAAATCGATTCGGCTAGAGATAATTCAAATAGCACGTCGTATAAATGGTGTTTGCCGAAATTATTGATCTGCTCCGCCACCCAATATTTACTTTTTTTTCTAGATTTAAATGGTAGCGCCTGCAAGCCGTTTGTAGTGAAAGGTTTGCAGGTGGGTTTAATACGAGCCGACGTTATGAAGCAATTAACGAACTTTCCTGAGGTTAGTAATTTAGAATTTTTTGCATTAATTGACTCAAAAAAATATTTTTAGGTTTTTCATATCCACTCTGGATGTGTAGAACTAAATCCGGCGTTTAGAGATTATGAAGAACGTAGCACAAAAGTGGATGAAGTCTTAAGAAAGTTGAGGATCAAAAATGCATTTATTACATTAAAGGGTTGGAGAGATGAGGTAGAGTAGTCTTCAAGTAGTGTTTTACCATAGCATGATAAAGTTATCAGTCTGATTGTTGCACACATATTAATTAAATTTACTTATCTATTTTTACTTTTTACCGAAATGTTTGTCATTTGTTAGCAAGGTAAAGCAAACTAAAAGGAAAAAATATACTAAGTAGGCTTTAAGTCGCATTTAGCTTGACAATTTCATATCAAACAATTACAATTAAAACTATGGAATTGTTGTAATCTGGTGATATGGGGCAATGTAACTAGCCTAAACTTGTTAATGCTAATTGGCTAATTAAAGTTGCAACAGAATAAGCATTCAAAACATTTTAATTCTGACATATCTGGAACTGACTATTAGCATTTGCTTAGAATGCAAGTCACATTTAATTCTAAAAAAAAGGTCATATATGTGAAATACTGTCATAGGTCTAACTGGAATATTGAATAAAAAGTACCTATTACATAATTTTATTTGCTTTTCAAAACCTACCGAGGCATACATAGCTAGGTCAGGGAGAGTTTTGTGCAAGATTTGAGGTAATAAAATAACTTATGTTAGAAATTTCAACATTACAAAGCTAGAATAGATCTGGCAACACGACATTGCGTATTTTTAAAATGCAGATACCGATCACCTAGTATGGTATGATGTTAAGTGTGGAATGTGAATCCTAAAATTTAACCATATATACATTTTTTTAAATTAGAAATTTCCAAAGTGCTAAAAATATTTAAAAAATACTCCACTTTCTCTTCCTTCACCAATTTTAATATCAAATTTTAGGAAGCGACTATAAAAATATTTCTTTTAGTTAATAACTTAAACCTTTTGAAAAATCTCAAACAAAACCCAAAGTAGGAGTAGTTTTGGATCTTACCAATTTCTATCAAATTAAATGCTGAAACAGATCAACACATCCCTTGGGATGTGTGTGTTCTCTACTTTAAGGCAACAACATTCATAGGGTAAAGCATCATGAAACGGATTATCTTCAAAAATTTTGGTACCTAACGATGTCTGAAGCAAATCTAAACATAATTCTTAACCTACGCTCACAAAAAAGACCACGAAATATTTGACAAAATTTCGGGTTAAACTCCAATCGTCCAATTTGAAAGGAGTGGACCTAAAACCAATTTAAGAGAGTGTGTTTAAAATCCAGTGGATGCTTTCTCGCTGGATGGTTAATTTTGGTTAGGCATTCGAAATGTTGTAAGTATTGGGGTGGTTTTAATTTTTTTTTTTGTGAATTGGACCATTAAAAATTTGTTTTTTATTGAATTTTAATGTTTATAAAAAATGACCTGTGATCCTAAAACTTGTTTATATTTTTCAGTGAATAAGTATATTCTCAGGGGAGTGCGACTGAAAATAGTAATTACGTATAGTTTTTAAAAATAAAATAAAACTTGAAAGAAAAACAAGTAATTAAGTTATTGTACGCACCCTCAATAAAGGTCCCGCGCTTATTGCAATTCTAATGAAACTTTGTGGTACATTTTCAGTGTTATGAAGTTAAAACAGAATTTAGTGCTTCTAGTCTATTGAAAATGGATAGATCTGCAACATGTTTATTTGGTATTAGAAATTATGGAGTTACGATAAATGGATTTGTTAAAGAATCCCAACAAGTCAAGTATCTCTGGTTTCAGAAAAGATCACCTACGAAACAAACTTGGCCAGGTATGTATGTATTTACGTTATTAGCTCTTTTTTATTCTGCCTGTATTAAATGACAGGGATAATAACTCCGAAAGAATAATGCACCTCACCACTACTAATAAGTCACACCCATTTGATGGGTTGGTTCAATATGCAGAGCTCTTTAATTCAAATATATTTTGAATCCAATTAATGCAATTTTTGCGATATGCTTAACCAATACACATTTTTGTTTGCTGTAGCAGTTGAAACACCTGACTTATTTTATAATAATATCATTTATATAATATTGCTCAATATTTATTGAACAAATCAATACATGTTTATATATACTTACTTGATGTTAAAAAAAAAATACATACAAACAATATTGTACAAACAGATTAAATAATTTGTTATTTGTTGATGTTGATTTCATTTCTTTATGGAGGTAATCACCATAATTTTAAGAATTCGTGAATAATATCTTGGACCTCTCTCAATTTTATCCAATTTTTCAAAAATTTGAGAAAACTGGGTTTCAATATGCATTTCAAATTACTATGAAACGAAGTCTTTTTCTTGCATCACTTTGAGTATTTTAAAGCTAGTGTCCTTTATCAAAGTTGTTTTGAGAATCGTGTTAGAGTGTTAGTATTTTAGTGCCTCAGGAGCCTTGAGGCCACTGTTATTTTTAATATGTTTGTGATGTAGGTATTCAGGTCTGTATTCTTTATATCTTTATAATATACGAAACAGAAATAAAATAGTTCTTAATTACCATAGCATCAATAGATGCAAAAATGATTCTGGTTGCTATAATTAGAGTTTAAATCATGTATTTGTGTTGTTATTGTGCCATTTAATGTGTGATTTTTTTTGTTGGTAACATGTATTTTCGAATTTAAAGAACTTTATGTTAGTTTGTTATTATCACTAATAAACTATTTGAAATTGAATATGTATTTTTCAAATTTGTTTAAATTGGGCACCTGGATAATACTAAATATTTAATAACGTGGCATTTTTAACCGAGAATCTCTCACTACTGGTGTCTTCCCAATTTCAGGAAAATGGGATAATATGGTCAGTGGCGGTCTCTCTGTAAATCATGGAATTTTGGAAACGGCCTGCAAAGAGGCGATGGAAGAGGCCTCAATACCTTCGAATTTATTAAAAAATCTAGTCAGTGCGGGATGCGTCTCGTGAGTATTAACGCGCACAACTCGATTAATTTTGCCTAAAAAAAAAGAAGATAAAAAATTGCAAATTGCAATTATGTTAGTCATATACGCAACAGGTAATTTATTGCAGGTTCTTTTTCGAATCGGAACGTGGTCTATTTCCAAATACAGAGTTTGTGTTTGATTTAGAGCTGCCATTCGATTTTGTTCCAGAAAATGCAGATGGAGAAGTTGAGACTTTTGAAATTTTGCCAGTCGAGAAATGTGTGGAAAAAATTCTAGCTCCCGATTTTAAAACAACAAGCGCACCAGTGGTGTTGGATTTCCTAATTCGACATGGAATAGTAACCCCTGAAAATGGTAAGTAAAGAGGAATTCTTATACCGGGTCATTCACCCTTTATAACATTTTGAGTACAACTGGTAACATTCTATTTGCTTGCATGCTTTAGGCCCATATACCAAATTTAGGAATGTTCTCTTCTTAAATTTTCCAGAAGTTTTAAGAGGGCACTCAACTTAAATCAGTTGCTCTGTTTGTTCTTCACTGAACCTACTTATATAAAAAAGGTGTGTTTTCAAGTGAAACATGGACTATAAGTCTGGAAGAAAATTAAAAATCCTTTTATATAATATTTCATGTTCCTATATCTAAACTATTGCGATTCTGAAATGATCTTGGAATATATATGCGCTTTAGGTGCCAACAATAGAGACAAATGAAAAATACTTTCAATCTCTTACTCGCCAAAAGCGTGGAAGTCGCCTAATAAATCAAATATGTATACGGGGTTTTTCACTCTATCTAGAATGCAAAATTTTGGACTGCATCCAGGTTCTTTGATTTTAAAATATTTGCACTTCAGGTTTTATGTACTGTACCTAATTTCAAGTGTCTGAGAAATCTTTAATTCAAACACAAGAATGACAGATTCAATATTGGTATTGAGAATTGAATGTTTCTCCTGGAACTATAGTACCTCTCATGGGGAGTTTGGATAGTTCCTTGTCTTAAATAATTTGAGCTCTTAGTACTCTTAGTAGACTGACCTCTGATGGTGCGCAGCTGGTTAGGAGATTAATTGAAGTTTTTGTCTTATCTAAATACACCATTTCGCTCTTTAGTATACTGTCTGTTATTTGAAGATACAGTGTTATCAAATACTCATCTACACACCAAGAGCTTGGATAGCCACTCGACTGTCGTTGCAAATATTGATGTGCCAATACATTCTGTTGATGCCAACCAAAAATGGTTACAATCAATATATCTAAAAAACTATTCAAGCAAGGTATATGGCAACCTGTTTTGAACTTTGGTTAGTTATGATCGGAAATGAGATCCTAAAAGTATTTCAAAATGCAATTCTTATATCCGCAGTTTTAGATTTTTCGTAGCCACGAAAACTCCGAAACGAACGATTATGAGTGACAAACCCTATATAAAACTCACACCAAGTTCTGTTCACCATTTTGTTGCAGAAAGTGAGTATTTGAAGATAATTGAGCTACTACACATTCCACTGCAGACTGTCTACAAGCAATATGCTTACCAAATTAAAGAAAACGGTTTCGCTGCTCTAAATAGTGTATAATTATTTAATTTCCTTATTAACTCGAATAGCTTTTATAGTTATGGATAGCTTTATTTTTCAATCATTAGATGATATGAATAATGGAAAAAATTTAATGTTGCCGTAGTTTTTATCGAACATTAATATATCATTTTTAATAATTAATATTCAGTGCAGCTCTTTTTTTCTTAAATAACTAGTCATTGTGAGTGTTGCATGAACGTTTTTATATGAGAAGAAAGAAGTTCTGAAATGGTTTTAAAGGTATTTTAATTGCAAGAAACAGCTAAAGATGTGTTTTCTTAACTTTCGCTTTCAAGCATTCCATTAATTTTACTAATAAAACTTGATTTACGATTTTACACTCAAGTTACTTTTCTATAATTTATCCGATTTTGTATCGTTAATATCACTTTTGAGTAAAATATATTTATTACTTATGAAAAAACATTATTTATAAATCTATTGATTGAAAGCTTTTTTTAGATGTTTGTAAAATACCTGTTACTTTTTATACGAAAAAGAGACTTAAATTTGCTATGATTTGTTTGTATGCAGTTTACAAAACTTTTTGAGTTGTGTATATGCCATATTTATAAATAATTAGGAACCAAGTATTTCATAGTTCTTGAAAAGTGTAGTCAAACTGTTGTCATTCAATGATATAGCTGTTTTGTATAAAATCTGTTTTTATTGTGATAAACTCATTAAACTAAATTGAGAATAAAGAATTACTATACCTATCATCATTCCAAATAATAATGTTTTGGAATCAGATTTGATCGTTACTACTATGCTGTGTGTCCAAGGTAAGCTAAGGGATCAATCAGTTTATAAGTTTCGCAATTTTTAAAAGTTTTAAGAAAATCAGGAACAGCAAAAAACGACTAAAATAGAACTATTTTCCAAAATGTTGGTTGTTCCTATATTGGGTGTTTCAAAACGAATTGATCATAGAATATTCTTTGTATCAAATTATTTCGATTTGTCAAATAATCCTATGTCCTAAAGTTAATACTTACGGATATACAGGGTGATAAATGTAATGTTGTTTTTTCGTTCTTTAATATTGACGTTCATAATTTTAAAAATGTAGGCACAAAATTTCGTGTGTGGGGGTTTTCGGGGGTGACAAATTAGATGATGTAATCAATTTTAGGATAATACAATACAAAAATACAATAAAAATTTTGGTGTATATTCTCGAAAAAAAGGTATTTATTTTTTATTACCTGTATTTTAATCGTTTTGACGATCTTTACATTGTTACCTAGTACTGCAAGCCAATGCGAAATACTTTTTACTGTTCCCGTAAAAACTATTCCAATTCCTAGATATAATTAATTTATTACCAGATATTTTTATTAAAAAAAAGTTTAAAATTAGATACGCTATTTTACTTTTTAGTTAGTTTTCTGTCTTATAAAATTAAATTAGGTTTTGGTTTTAAGTTAGTATTTCATAAAATTAATGTAATCTTTTTCGTTTCTGGTTCAGTTCATAATTTTGAATAAATATTGTGCCTGGGCATAATAGGTATTCAAATCGAAAAATTGTAATGGTCGTCCTGCACTCTGACAGATCCCATCCAGACAGATTTTTGGTAACATTTTATGACTGAGAGCTTCAGGATTTTTTTTATCAAAAAGAACACAATGGAGAACTTCCAAAAAATATTGCACTAGATCACTATTTAGAACAATAAACCGGGAAAGTTTTTATCTCTATTATTTCACACCAGTCCGGCATTAGTTGTCTCCTGATCTGCAAGCAAGAATAAATTTTTCTACCTTTGTTTAAAAGCAGCAAAAAAAGAATCTAATTTTGTTTACACAATATGATTTACTGACGATGCTACTTTTACCCGCAGAGGTATCTTCAATTTTCATAACAGTCATTCGTGGGAATTAGAAAATCCTCAATTGATATGGTAAGACATTTCCAGAACGAATTCAAGATAAATGCGTGCGCAGGTGTAGTAAATAATTATGATTATGACCATTTCAATTAATTTGAATTGAACACGACTTCATGGTTTTGATGGATGAGGATGACCTTTGACCATAAGAAATTAAATAATCCCTTTGTTTGACGGAGCACCGCCTCATTTTGCGCTAATTTAGATATTATTATTCAAACTTTCCCCATAAATGGATTCGCAGACGAAATCCGCTTCTTGAATAGCCGGCAAGTAGTCCGGATTTTAATTCAATGGATTTTGGATTTGGAAATAGTGGTTTACATAGACCCAATAAACAGTCGTGAAGAATTTTTGCTGAAAATTCAGAGTGCTGTTAATGAATTCCGAATCAAAATCTAAATAAGACAATTCTTCATTACAGGAATTACAAAATGTATTGAAGTGCATGGTGGTCCCCTAGAATATCCACTTGAAGTTTTTGTTTTTTGCAATAATTAAGTTAAATAAAATTTGATTTGATTGCAATTATGTCTAACAAAATTTTCCTTATTGTGGATTTTCCTTAGTAATAGTAATAGACAACACAATAGATTGTGTTTTTTTGTTCGTAAGTCTTCCATCTTTTACGGTATTCACTCCCAAAACTATTAGTCTACATGGGGTTAGACAATAATACCTTTTTTACTTAGAAAATACCAGAAAATGCATGTCTTATCACAAATTAAATTTGAGAATATACACAAAAAATGTGATAGGATTTTTGCAAAAAAGTGTGTGCAGGTGGCGCTATCCACAAGTTATTGCAAATTGTGTAGACCATCTAATTTTCTGAATTTCTGTGTCTACATTATTAAAAAATTGTGCACGAAGTTATAAAAAACGAAAAAATAAAATTACGTTTATCACTCTGTAAGTTTTAAATTTAGGACATAGGTCAAGCTTAAAACTGCGAAGTTTTCTCTAATTTATTATACCTCTGAGCTCTTGCAGTTTCTTAGATGCGCAAAAAAAAAATATTTTCATGTAATTCCGTTTCTATTAAAAATAACCCATCACATTTTTGTGAAATTACTGGGAATTATTGTGTACAGTTATGACGGAATATACTTCAGTATTACCATTGTTTAAGGTTTTATGGAAAGGACGGAATCCTTTACTATATTTGTATTACTTATAAAATCCTGGGGATGTTGCGAAGGAATACACGACTAGGTATAGTGTATGTACACACCCAAAGGGCATTGCCATAAAAACGGAACGGAATAACGGACGATTTATTTTTTATTATTATTTTATTATTTATTATTTATTTATTTATGATTTATTGGATTTGATAGAATTGATTGCATCTTAATAACAGGCAAGTTATTCACAAGCAACTGGAAAATACTTAGCAGACAATGCACATCATACTGCAAACTCTTTAAAGTTTAATATATTATTGACTTTTAAAGACATGTCTTTATACTTTGTTAATACTCCCATACTATTCAATAATGCACTGCTTGACTGTATGTTTGAGGCATTCACAGATTTAAAAATTGTCTTGGTCATCAACTTTACTTTTGCTTCCATATTCTTGCTAATATTGCCACCCTTCAACTTCTTATAAAACATTTATAAGAATCAAATTTGCAGAAAAGTCACATTTTCGGAAAAAAACGTATAATTCCTATTTTCCAGCTGCTATGCTGAAAAAAGTTGTGACAATATAATAGCTATTCAAAAATGAAAATTCAACAGTTTTCCATTGAAAAAGGTTAATAAATTTAAAATTATACGCAGAGTTTGCTTGAGCTAACTTTAATAAGTAACCGACCTGTAGCAATGTTACTGATTGACATTTCAAAAATGTTTTTCTACGCCTGTCTGTAAAATGCCTAATTACACACCGCAGGAGTCACTTTACCACGTCAGCTTCGTTTCCTACGGACTTCGAACATTTCCGGGATTTTACCGCACGGGTTTGAGAGCAATCGGATGTTTTTGCAGATGTTTCCCATGCCTTTAATTTTGACGTTTGTCAATTCTAACGGCCATGTCAGTGGATGTATTTGTTGTTTTGCGAAAATGTACCCAAAACTAACAGTCGTAGAAAAACTATAGTATTCAACATGTTCGGTAAAGTTTTTCAAGTCACTCGTTCATTAAACACTCGCTCCGCTAGTGTCAAATAAACTCGTGACTCAAATGCCGTTTACCGCACTTGTTACATAATATACTATAATGCACCATACATAAAAAAAAACTAAATTGACATCATTACAAGTAATATCGCTTACAAAATGCCCTTCGCTCATCTGTACATGCGCAAAATATTTTCATTGTATATAAGGGCTACTTCAAACGTTTCGAGTTAAATAGGTTTGTAGGGCTAATGTAAACACAAAATGTTGCACTATTTTTTTATTGCAAGAATAATCTAAAAAGTATAAATTTTATTACCTTCTATTGAAGCTTTAGATGTCAAGAAAGATAAGAATGGAACGAAAAACAGATCTGCCTATTCTTAAGATTTTGTTACTTGCAAAATCAATTTGAGCAATCAGTTTGGCATACTTAAGTCTGAAGAACTTGATGTTTATTTTTATTATTTCTTTACCCAGAAGTTAATCTTTCTTTTGTGTTGGAAAAAGGAAGCTTGTCATTTTTTGCTTTTTGAAAATTAAGCTTCTGACAGTTCCTTCAGAAGTTTCCCTGTAAGATATTTCATTAATTGCACTATCCCTTGCCATGTGTGCATATAAAAGTTACATAATTTCTGCAAGAACTTCATCGACTTTTTGTATTTGTGGTCATATGTTGAAGCCTCAAGCAATAGTTTGTATTTTATTATTAATTTTCGTTTAGTTTCTCTAGGCGATCCAGTGTGATGAGAGAAATTTGTAAATTTGAAAAGAGGCCAAACTAATCACATATAACTAAATAAAAACAACAAAATGTACAAACAAATAAAATTAACGTTTCCTAGTCTAAACATGGTGAAGTGCTGTTTTGGCGCTTATGAACAATGTGATTCAGATTATTATTGTCTTGTTTTCTTCTTTCACACAAATCCTGCATAGTTTCAGACTTTTTGTACGGATAAAACCTAAGGCAGAAAGTATTTAATTATTGAAATCCTAGAATATCTAGTTTGACCTCTTGTTTACCTTTCTCGAAGTTTTTTGTAAATGAAAACCAACATCAAGGGAAATGGTGTCATAATTGCGACTGATACTGGAGCAACTGAAAAACAAAATATGGTAAGTGCTCTAGGTAAGTATTATAAACCATTTTTTCAGTTGAGACGCTTTCAAATATATAACACAATCAAATAATATACTTCCGAGTTGTTTATAAGTGAGAACGTTAAAGTTTTAGTTTTTACTTTATAGCGAAATATTGAATAGTTTGAAGGATTTTCGTAGAATGTTTATGTTAATCTTTACCTGTTGTGAGATCTGCGTGTAGCGGTTCCAAAGCAAACCTTAATAAAAATATTGCTATTCCAGTGTTCTGAATTCCAGTTTCAATCGCTATGGCGAGACAATCGGGTGCTGGCTGCCTTAAAATTTTTGCCATCACATAACCCAACATATATCCAACCCATGGCAAACCCATACCGGCAACAACAATCTGTAAATATCAATGAATCAGGATATAGCTGATCATAATCTCTCTTTGCAGATATTTTCTAACTACACTATGACACTTAAACACGAATTTTTGCCCAACAGTGGCAACATAGGCATGTAAATGATTCAAAATTTATATTCCCACATTATTTTGGTTAGTGTTGGTGAGTTTTAGTTTGTTTGGTTTTGGCGGGCCTCCAAGACAGATATTGGAGAATTACTGACTTCACTTCGCGAGCCAAGTTCACTGGCGAGCTAGACGTTTCGAAAAGCAAAATTAATGAATTTCTGCATAAAGTTCTTGAGAAAACATAATGCCGTTACACTGGAAAGGAGCAATTTAGGTGACATTTGAAAGTGTCATTTAACAGACCAACTAATTAATAGTATTAAGAGGTTTTGTTTGATAGTTTTTATTGTTTTGGAACAGTTTTAATGCGTAATAGTCCTTACTTAGTTGAACTGATTGAGACCCAGTTTTTTCTATAGAAAAATAAAAATTATTATTTTTGTTGTTAATCATTTTTTGCTACCCAACATCAAAAGATTTTCAACAATTTAAACAGTTGTTGAGGATGTCCAAGGAAAGAGAGATAAACAATAGGTTATATTGGTTTATAACATAATTGTGCTTTTTGATTATGCCCTACAATCGTCTAATTTGTGAATCAACTTAATGAAATAATTTTGGAGATATTGACAGTGTAAAACTAGTATTAGATGGATTTTGTTAGAAGAAAAAAAGCGGGCGATCAAATTTTCTTCAAACTGAATAGGAACTGCCAAAATAATTTTCTTTTTAGAGGACTCAAAGGCTGTACTTTTTTATTTTTCGCAAAATCTTTAGTCAAAACCCCTATTGAATGGATGCCTGCCAGTGGTAAAAAAACATTTTACAAAAAAAAACTTACGCGGTGTGTGCCAAATTTGGTAACAGAAATTTTAAGCAGTATTAAAACTATATATATATATATATATATATATATATATATATATATAAATAAAACAATGCTTTTTCCAGAACTATATAACCCCAAAGCACCAATATTTGCATGAACTATGTTTCTTTAAAATTTGTTTTTTTATTTTGTTCTTTTAAAAATTACTTTGAATATTTTGTAAAAGTTCTGAGGTATTTAATTTAAATTGGACTCATACTAAATTATCATTGAGTCTAAACCTCTGAGCATAAAAATGTATTTATTTTTATATTCCTGTATTTCGTCAAAAACTAAGAACGATCGAGATAATTAGGAAAGATTATATCACTATTGACTTACCCTCCACGAAAATAGTTCAAACAAATATAAATTTGTAACGATGGCAAATATAATAATAAACAATATTAAAAGCGAAGAAAAGCCTTTTAATATTCTCGCCATAAATTGACCCACTCTGTTCAGATATCTGGTGATCAAATAGCCTATTCCGAGTGGGATTACTAAGGCAAATACATAGGTGGAAATTTGGGAGTATGGAACTTCCAAATCCGCTTGCTCGAAAATGGTCCTTCCTAGAGTAAATATCCACAAAGGCATCATCCCGAATGCGGCTATGGTGCTAATAGTGGTCATCAAAATGGATAATTCTATATTGCCTTCTAATATAGCCGTCCAAATATTGGAAGCCCCGCCGGCGGGAGAAACCCCTGTGAAAAACATGCCGAGACGCATTTCTGGATCGTCTGGGAAAAGTAGGAAACCAATTACATAGCTGAGCTGAAAATTGAAAAAGACGTTTCGTAAACTAAACGCTTCATTAATAACTTTTTTTCAGGAATCTTTCATGTCCAATAACCTACTCACCACTGGCATAATAACAAATTGTCCACAGAATCCAATAGTCGGCCCGATGGGTTTTTTCAACAGATTCTTTAGCTCGTTCCATTTTACAACACACCCAAAGTTGATATAGATTATCGCGACAAGAGCTGCGGTGGAAGCGGTGAAAATTTGATCAATTATCCGCTTTTTCCTCAAACATTTTACCGCAACTTGTTCTGACGAGCTAATACCAGTATTTATATTTCTACAGGACACTACTGTTTGTCCTAAAAACATAAACTTATTGAAACAAATTCTTACGTAAAGATATCAGATTTTTAGTTCTGAGATTAGCGGAAAAGAAAATAGCGCTACAAACTTCATGGAGACTATACATATGTGCCTGTATCTTCCATCAAACTCAGCAATGTAAGCAGTTTGTGAACTAATTTGATTTTGTTTGCTTTGAAAACGTTATCCTTAATAAAGTCGTGCCACAAGAGTCTAAACAAAAGAATAGAGAATTTATTTGAAGAACATGTGAAGATCTGGATTAATAAATAATGAGATTGGAAGACCAATGTGTAAAGGGCCTATAATATTGGCAAAAGAAAACTCAATAGGAACATGGTAGGGGATTTAGAAAATTTTGCTATAATTTACAGTAAATATTACCTCGAACAAATTTTCGTTAGTTTCTTCATCAATTTTGTATCCATATTTTAGTCAAATATCGTCAAGTTTGATGGTCACATTTCAGTATAGACAACTGTTTAGATGTATTTCCGATGTCTTGGTACTGTTTCTATCGTTTTTGTAGTAAAGTTTTGTATCAATATTATCTAGTTAAAAATCAAGAGAAAAAAAAAATTACGCAATTACCTAGTACCAAAGTATTAGTTTGAAGTATCACTATTACAATCAAAAGCTAAATAGGTAGTCAGTTATGTATTTATCCATGGGCAGAATGAGTCATAATATTTTCTTCAACAAAATGTGGCGTAAATCTCAAATCTATTATACTTATTTGTTTAATTAAGCTATAAGTTACAGTTATATAGTTAAAAAGCGCAACTTAAGTAGAAGTTTTTTTTTTCTCTATCATATTCGTTAGGAGATGAAGAATACATTACACATTTGTTTATTTATACAATTTGTGTCTTATTTACAATAAAACACAATATTAGACATAATACCATCGGATAGAAAGTTAATATAAAACTTGCGGTAAAAAATATAAATGCAAATTTCAATCAAATTAACATATACAAAAAAGTTATGGCTTGAAAATGTAATGCCATAAAAATTGAAATACCAAGGATATGGTTACATCGTCTTAGGGGCATTAGAGTTTTAAGAAGTACCCTTAGAGAGCGTTTTAGCAAAACCAGCGCAATTTGACATGAGATCGATTTATCGAAGAATTATGGGCAACAGTCATACCGTTTTCGGGTTGGTATTGCCACTGAATCAATAGAGAAAGGCAAAAGATAGGAGACAGTTACGGCTGGCACGGTGTCCAAAATTGGTTTAATTGAGAGTGGAATCGGATCGTTTTCAGGACGCGAGTTGCGCTTAGAGGGGGCGTTATGGTTTACAGTGTCGTAACACCTCTAATCCTGTTGAAAAGAAACAGAAACACGACCGTCAACCCTACAGTAATAACGTGTTACCATTTATAAGTAAGTACAAGATCCATCAAGATTACGTTAGCATACCGCTCCAGTTATTAGAAACTTCCAGCGCTCGTGTACCCCCAAGGTCACCAGACATCACCTATTGAACATGTATGTGATAGATAGAAGGCTGAGTCGATTGCCACATCTTATATAGGATGTACAATTTCTACTTCAACAGGTAAGGTGATCCTGGCACATATGGAAGATCGTAGATGTCAAAACTTTATGTTGCTCCTCCACATTCCACATTTCTTTCAATAAATTTGTTTCAAAATGTAATTGATTGTTTTTCATATGTATCCCTACTATACTATACTATACTATAGACCTATAAACTGCACACTTGAACTGGCGGAGAGAAAATTAGAAGTGTACCTTAGTAAGGGATTCTTAAAAAGTGGTTTAGATTATATTTACATAATATAACACAACAAGAAACAAGTATAAATACTTGATCCATTTCTTTTCATAGTGTTTATCAGTGATCTGTCTTTTTGGATAAACTTCGAGTACCAATATAATGTCAAATATGCAACTTGATTGTTGAGAATAATTCTTTTTTCAGTCTTGTCACAGAATGGTTTAACAATAATAGATTAATTTTGAATAAGAGAAAAACAAATGTGTTAATGTTTAGGACTAAACAAATTTCAACAGTAATACGAAAAGTAATAAAACTTGAAAACAAAGAAATCGCAATTTCAAACAATGTTAAATTTTTGAGGACTGATATGGACGAATAGTTTGAGTTGTAATAATATTAATAATTATGACTTTGCAAATTGCAAAAAAGTTAAGAAAGTTGCACAACAGTATTCAACAGTGTAAAAATAATGCCGGTATATGGCGTCTACATATACGAATGTTTAGTTTTTTTCTTAATCCAGAACACAAATATCACAAATGGTAGAACCAAATTATGCAGCACACAAACTTGCATTAACAGAAAGATTCCCACAGCATATGTGTATAAAACTGTTGAATGCCACTTCAGAGAGTTTATGTATTTTTTATCGTGATTTGAAATAAAGAGTATTATTAATATTATTACTTCTGAAAATATACATATATTTACATGTACTTGGTGATGCAATTTCTATGACACGTATCATATTTTACAATTTTGCATTTTACAATGCTTTATCTCACACCGTTTTGAATTGAAACTAATTTAATTATTTAATTTATCATTTAACAACGACAAGACGACAACACGCAGCTTACCCAAAAAATTCCCGGATATGTTGAAGGTTCCACGTGGAGGTGATAAAGTACTCAATATTATTTCTTTATCTATAAAAGCTATGTGTGGATTTTCGCTGTAAAGTATACACTCATCTTCGTTATCTAACTCGCCGCCTGAAAGTGATTGAAAAATATAACTTTTCAACATTAGCAATAAAACAGGGGCGCAACAAATTTACTAGCAGTCTTATTGGCAAGATACTTTTGTTTAAAAAAAAAAACGAATTTAGATAATTTCTTTTGGTAACGACTAGTTGCTTTCTCTTTAATTATTTGTCTTTTAGTTATTGTATTATACTTATTCTTCTTATAAAAAATAAAAATGGCAAAAAGGCTAAAAATATAACAATTACCGACGTCAGATGCATTTATTAAGAAACATCAGAAAAAAAAAACTTTCAAGAAAATGGAACCGTGTAAACTAATATTTAACACAACGGATTTGGAAAGAAATAAGAATTTATATTAATTTTAATAAATTTTGTACCGAACAAGCTTAAATTAATTACGCAAGAAACATTAAAAGATGCAATTGATTGCTTTGAAGATAAACTATTGATAATTAAATTAAATCAAATACTTGAGCCCATATTAAAAAGTGGAAATTTTGAAGAAGTACTTTATAAAAATGTTGTTTAAAAAGAATATGGCAACTATTTTTCCAATAGCAAAAATAATTTACCTAGTTCCCCAAAAGCAACTTCTCATCGGCATTGATAAGTTAGATATTTTTAAAATAAAATTTAAAAAATCATTGCGGAAACAAAGACGAAATGAGGTAATTAATTTAGCTTTTATATTAATTTAAATTTTTATTAAAGTATTTCATATGTATCCGGTATTTTGAAAAATTAACGCTCATAAAAGCTTTATTTTCAGAAATAATCCATCGTATGCTGCATTGTTCGAATCGTAATAAAATTCTCTATTTATGAAAGTGCGAGGAAATAGTATGTTATGCAACAAGTGCGGCAAACGGCATTTGGCACGAGCGGAGCGAGTGACTTAGAAAGTTTACCGAACGTATTGCATACTATACCTTTTCTACTCCCGTCTGTAAAATACCTAATTACCCACCGATCTAGCATGCGGGAAGCGTCACTTTACCACGTCGGTTTCGTTCACCATGAATCCGAGCCACTTTGGACATTTCCGGGATTTTACCGCACGGATTTGGGAGCAATCGGATGTTTTCGTTGATATTTCCTACTCTTTGAATTTTGACGGTTACCCAAAAACTAACGGTCGCAGAAAAAGTATAGCATGCAACACGTTCGGTAATAGTATATTATGCAACAAGTGCGGTAAACGACATCTGACTCAGGAGTTTATTAAACACTCGCTCCGCTCGTGTCAAATAAACTCGTGAGTTAAAAAGTTTACCGAACGTGTTTTATACTATACTTTTTCTACGACCGTTAGTTTTTGGGAACATTTTCGTAAAACAACCCGATTACATTCACTGACATGACCGTCAGAATTGACAAATGTCAAAATTCAAAGCGTGGGAAATATCTCCGAACCCATCCGATTGCTCCCAAATCCGTGCGGTAAAATCCCGGAAATGTCCGAAGTGACTGACGTGATAATGTGACACTTCCCGCACGCTAGATCGGTGGGTAATTAGGTATTTTACAGACGGTAGTAGAAAAACGTTTTAACTCACCTAATATACCTAAAATACCTAATTACGCACCGATCTAGCGTGCGGGAAGCGTCGCTCTACCACGTCAGTTTCGTTTCCGACGAATCCGAGTCACTTCGGACATTTCCGAGATTTTACCGCACGGGTTTGGGAGCAATCGGATGTTTTCGGAGAATTTACCGCACGGCTTGAATTTTGACGTGTGTCAAGTCTGACAGTCAAGTCAGTGAGAATGTTCGTGTTGTTTTGCAAAAATGTACCTAAAAACTAACGGTCTTAGAAAAAGTATGCCACACGCTTGGCAAACTTTCTAAACCACTCGTTTATTAAACACTAGCTCGGCTATATTTCTCACTCTTTGAATATTGACGTTTGTCAATTGTGACAGTCATGTCAGTGAATGTATTCGTGTTTTGCGAAAATGTACACAAAAACTAACGGTCGTAGAAAAAGTATAGTATGCAACACGTTCGGTAAACTTTTTAACTCACTCGTTTATTAAACACTCGCTCCGCTCGTGTCAAATAAACTCGTAAGTCAAATGCCGTTTACCGTACTTGTTGCATAAATACTATTTTCTACGACCGTGGCAAAGTGACGCTTCCCGCACGCTAGATCGGTGCGTAATTAGGTATTTTACAGAAGGGAGTAGAAAAATATTTTTTGACATTTTTTTAAGAATAAAAATTCCTAAACCTTTCGTGTTTATCATTTTATGTTACAATATAACATTTGCGCAGCTAGGAGCATTTTAAAAAATCACCGAAATTCGGTTTTTCAAATATCTATTGACAGCTGTCAAATCTTGAAAAATAATTATCAGTAGAGCGTACACAACTGCAATTTTTTCTCCATGTTGACTGGTTCGTATCTACAATACATAGTTTAGTTACCAAACATCTAAAAAAAATCACCCTGTAAGTGTAATTTCGTAATTTAGTTAGGTAAGGGTTTCTATTGGTAGCTATTAATTAGTTACGAGTTAAAAGATAATCAATTATTTTTGATTTGATCTTAGTGTCTAAGTGGGATTTGAGTGATGATTCATTTACTCATTCTTGCATTGTTTACTTTTATAAGCCGATATATACAAATAAATAAATAAATAACAATTTCAATTAATTTTTCACAATCATACTTAAAAAATATTTTCAATTAGCTACACCAAAGAGCTTGGGTTGTTAACTAAATGGAATAAAACAAACTTAAAAAATATCAATTATACGTTTTGCGAATATATCTCGCGTAGAACCGACTCTTACCCGTATCGATGGTGTAGTTTACCGGGATAAAATCGCTCATATAAACCGTTACATTCTTGGGATCAAATTTAACGCTCAGCGCTCTGACGACCACAGTATGACCAATTAACAGTAACGTAAATATTATAATAAGCAACTGACATAATCCAGAAATCGGACACATCTGAAAAAAAAACACATTATTACACAAATTAAACAGTTCAATATAATATTTATATTTTTTTAACTCTGTAATTTGGGTTTCAATCGAAGCCAAGAATTGTAAGTCAGTTTACAAACTAGGAAACCTTAAAACTACAGTTTATAATCTGATTATCCCTATTTGATACAGAAATCTCATAAATTAAAAATGTTTACATGTAGGAGGGACATCCATAACAGACGTTAAAACATATGCACTTGTTAAATGAAAATTAAAGACCGTAATTAGAAACTCGATTTATGCAATACAGGCCATTAAAAAATAAGAAATGTAAAGCATGCGACTAGAAATAAGTTTTATAAAACATGACATAAAAAATGTGTCAAATTAACAAGAAATATAAAGAGTGTGATAACAGACGTTAAAGCATATGCACTTATTGAATGAAAATGTAAAAAATTTAAAGGGCCTTTATTAGAAAACCGTTTTATACAATAAATCCATTAAAAATGTGTCAACAGGAAATGTAAAAAGTGTGACTAGAACCAAGTAGGATACAGTTCGACATGAAGTATGTGTTAATAGAAATTTTTGAGAAATAAAAAAATATAAAAAGTGTGAGTAGAATTGCATTTTGCAAAGTATGTGTTCAATTAAATTTCAAAATATTAAGAGAATGTAAGCATACATATTTTGTAAAATAAGTGCGCGTCAGTTAAAAATGTAGGAAGTGACACGAATACGACTTAGGGAGTTAATTTCTCTTAAAAAAAATATAACATGTATATATTAACATTTAAGAAATATTAGTATAAACGCCGATGAAGATTGCGATTAGCTTATCTTTGCCACATGGCAAAATTTAGGTACTTAAATGCGCAGAATAAAAATCATTAATTTACAGTTGCCATGTACTTCAACATGAAAGTTTAATATCAGATATTTCTCTCTCTAAAACGATTAAAACACAGAATTCGATAAATTTATAAATTGATCATTATAGCTGTATATTAATTATGTCGACAGCTATCGCTCTCTCATTAAGTTATGTTAGGAAATATTTTGTGTGCTTCTACTGCTGCAGTTTTAAACTGAAACTCACTTTTCCAGCCCGAGGTCTAATATTTGTCATTTGTCAATAGTTGAAAATTACTTGGCAATTTATAACAAAACATTACATATCCGTCATTCATAATCATAAATTTCCTTGGTTTACAATTTCCATTGAGGCAATATATAAAGGAGAGGGATACAAATTAAACCAAACATAAGGATTAATTACACAGGTCTACAGTGATTTTGATGTTTGCAAGCTGTTTGCTTATTTTTATATTTTTGGGGGCACTTTTTCCAACAAAGACGCCTTATTTTCGATCTATCACGTCACTTTTTTCATAGCACTCTATATCGTAAAAATGTCATTTTATTAATATACGTACCTATGACATTAACATATTTGTTCCATGTTGGGCATGATTTTTAAATGAATAGATTTTTATGAAATTAAATGTGATTTAGCAACACGGATAATATTAGATTTCTCTGCATGGCAATAGAGTGGGCGCAGAAGCGTCAATACAGCTTTGTAACCTGCTTAGACGGATGATCTACAACAGAATATGCCCTATCATAAATGAACATCTACCGCATGAGCAAGCAGGATTCAGACCAAACCGTAGTTGCTGCGAACAAGTACTGGCCCTCACCTCTTACATAGAAGCAGGGTTTCAGAAAGGCCTAAAAACATCAGTGGCCTTTGTCGATCTTAGCGCAGCATACAACACAGTGTGGATAGATGGGCTGATCCTGAAACTCATGAAAATGATCCCTTGCATGAAACTAACCAGATTACTGGAAAGAATGCTGAAAGGTCGCTATTTCAAGATCACTTTAGGCACATCAAGTAGAAAATCAAGAAACATTAAAAACGGTCTCCCGCAAGGCTCAGTACTGGCTCCACTACTTTTTAATGTTTACATAAGTGACACCCCAAATTCTACGTCACGTAAGTTTTGTTACGCAGACGACATGGCTATAGCCACTCAAAATAAACACCTTGAAGAAGGAAAAACAACCATAACAGCCGACTTAGAAACCTTAAACCAATACTTTCAAAAATGGAGACTGCGCCCGAACCCAAATAAAACAGAGACATGTGCCTTCTACTTAAATAACAGGATGGGGCACAGAGAACTAAATGTCACGTTTTGTGGAGAACCAGTCAAACACAACAAACACCCCAAATATCTAGGCGTAGTCCTCGATAGGTCTCTCACCTTTAAAAAGCACCTTGAATTGACATGCCAGAAACTTAAAACCCGAAACAACATCATACGTAAATTGGCAGGCACCACATGGGGAGCAAATGCAGCTACCTTACGCACTGCAACACAATCACTTGTGTACTCTGTAGCGGAGTATTGCGCTCCTGTATGGGGCAGAAGCTCTCATGTAAATAAGATTGACACCCAATTTAATGAAGCCATGAGAGTAGTAACAGGGACACTGAAGTCGACTCCTTTACCATGGCTCCACGTACTATCAAATATCGCTCCCCCAGGAATCCGAAGACAACAGGCTACATTCCAAGAATGGCAAAAGATAAATCACCCAGACCAGCCAAGAACGTGGCCTATTCACAAGGTAATCGATGAACCCTGTGTGAATCGACTGAAATCAAGGGCCCCAATATGGAACTTGGAAGCACTTGCTCCAGGAAAAACCTACAACGCTTCTGAATCATGGACATCCGTATGGAATAACAGCAATGTCAATCAACACAACATAGAAGATCCTAATAAACAGCTCCCAGGGATGCAACTACCTCGTAAAACATGGGCCCTATTAAATAGAGTTAGAAATGGACATGCAAAAACGAGATCAGCGATGCACAAATGGGGAATTGCCGACAATCCAGCATGTGACTGTGGAGCTGAAGAGCAAACATTAACACATATAGTCCAAGACTGCCCACTGAGAAGATTTACTGGACAATGGAAAGACTTTACTCATGCAAGCCCCGCTGCCATTGCATGGTTATCCGAACTGGATTTGGACCTGTAGATTTGATTTTCCCATACCGCTAGGTTGCTCACATGCACCTGTTATATGTACTGTCTGTGTCATATTTAATGTGTATTACTGTGTTTTACATTACTTGTATTAATTGTCATTTATACCTACCTTTTATAAGAATTTTATTTGTAACCTATTATATAGCACTTGTAGAGCCATACGATAAATAAATAACCTGCTTATGCGCAGTTTGGTTGCATTGGTCGTCGTGCTACTGTGTTCGCGGCTGTTATCTTCGTTTTTGCGTATTTCTAGTGTTGTAGAACATAGAAGCTTTTGCCGGGATGGTAACGAAAAGGCTTCAGTTTCCGTTGCATATTTGGTATATTTAAAAGAAACGTATGAAAATTTAGTTCTTTTGAACAAAATAAACTACCCAGAACATCAGTGGATGCTTTGTGGTGACCATAAAGTACTGTGCAGCCTCCTAGGACAACAAGGGGGTTATACAAAATTTCCATGCTTTGTTTTTCAGTGGAATAGTCGGGTAAGAGATAGACATTGGACTCAAATAGAATGGCCCTCTAGAACAAGCCTTACACCTGGTAGCAAAAATATATTAAAAGATAGCTTAGTTGACCCCAAAAAAGTTTTTCTGTCTCCTCTTTACATCACTTGATGAAACAGTTTGTTAAAGGCCTAGACAAAAATGGACAGTGTTTCAAATATTTAGAGAAAAATTTTCAGCCATATCTGATGCCAAGATAAAAGAAGGTATTTTTGTTGGGCAGCAGATAAGAACATTATGCAAAGACAAGGATTTTCAAAACACAATGATCAAGTAATTGATAAGTTTCTTAGGAACTCTAAGGACGAAAACTAAGAAAGTATATGAGTTTGAAAACGCACTTCCTGTTTTCACACTTGAACTATTTTCCTGAGAATCTTGTAGCAGTTAGCGAAGAACAGGGAGAGAGGTTTCACCAGGACATTAAAGACATGGAACTACTGCTGGATGTTCAAACGGGATATGCCCTTAAAAACACAGCCAAATGTCCGGACAACGCAGCTTTCTGGCAAAAAGATGAAGATTCCCCTAAAAAAAGTCAAAGTTCTTTTTACTTTTTTAAAGAGGATTCTACTTTTTTATTGAAAAAAATAAATAAATTATTTTAGAAATATCGTTTTTTTTTCTTTAAGATTTGCAAAAAATCTTACGTGATACAAATAAATGGATTCAATTTTTGAAATCAGCCTACCAAAATTATATAAAATCAGTTTTCAAAAAAAAAGATCAGTCAAAAAGTTTAAATTTTGTACTGTTGTCAGTGTTGCAATAGGATTTGAAATGCCTTTTTTTAGACACAAATCTATTGTTTAGATTAAAGATCAAGTTGATTAAATACGGATATCCTCCTCTTGATACTACTACTATTTGCTAAAATTTCTGTTGTTTGACTTTAAATACAATTTTTTTAATGGCAATCGTTCCGATTATTTGCGGGATTGTATTTCAAATGCACTTAAATAAGGGAAACACGTAACTTGATTTACCCTTTAAAAACAGTTCTAAAATATATGCTGTTATATAGAAAAGAGCACAATTTAATATATTAATCAAAGTGTTCGAGTATATTTAAGAAGTTAATAAGTTAGGACATAGATCTGCTACAGCAATACGTAGTAACAAAAATATTTATTATTTTTGTCAATACTTAAAGTGCATGGTTTATTTTTCAATTATGTGAATTTATTTGCATAGTTATAAAACAAATTTATGCAAGTTTAAAGGTTATAATAATACGCGGTAAGTATTATTTCGCTGCGGTCATTTGTGCCTATTAAAAAAGTGTTTTCAAAAACAATGAATGCTATTGCTACTAACCAAAACTATTATTGCTATACAGGGCGGACTAAATTAGGAGAGTTTTAAAGAATTTTATATGAAATTTAAACCTGAGCACGAATAGTTTTTGAGAAATTCGAGAAAATAATATATATGAAGT